ATAAATATACTTAATCATATATTAGCAACGCAAATGATACTTCCTCTTTTTTTCGCCAACCACAATGAGTTCGTCAACCTCTGTCTCCAAAATTCAGTTTTACCACCGGCCCAACCATAGTACTATCATCACTAGGTTACAGTATTATTATTGATTACTTAATAACCTATCATCACTAGGTTATAGTATTATTATTAATTAGGTAAAAACCAAACCCTTATCTATTTTATTTCGGTAACTTCTTTTGAAATGCCCTAATTCTTTATTCAATTCTATGTGACAGGTTTTTTTATAATAAGTCAAGTTTTATTTAACTATTATTTCGTTATTTTTTATAACAATTTGTAATTCTATCAACCATGTTTATAATTCCCTTAAATGTTTTGAAAAATAATTATAAAAATTTTAATAGAAATACAAAATTTTAAATAGAAATGTAACAAGAATTTTAAATTGAATTGAATTTAGAAAATAAAACAATAGAAAAAAAAATACTGCTAATTTTTAAAGAAATATAAAATGAATATCTCGTTGAGAGCAATGATATTTTAGAAGATTTAAATCCATTAATGTCTTAATTATGCGAATCAGACAAGAATAGAGTAATTTAGTCTCTAAAGAAATATTTTGGAGACCATGAATTTGTAAGAATTGGCGGATGGCTTCAAGGGAGCATTGATCTCTAAGAAGAAGTAATTGATTATAAAATAGTTTACTCTTCAGATAGGGAAAATAATAATTATGAATCTATTTTAGAATATATGAAGAAGGAAGAATTTCGAAAATAGAATTTGATTCCTGATGAATTTTTAGCTAATTAATAATAACTCATAAAAATGAAAATAAGGTCTTTATTAGTTTTTGATTTATTAGACTGTTATTTAAATGTTAATGATTTAACTCAAATTGAGATTTTGAAAATATTATTAGAACTATTTTATTGTAATACTCAATTTAATGATAACGAATTATAATCATTTGAACAATTAATAGGATTCCTATTATAAAAATAATTATATGAAATATCTTATTATATTGAGATATTAAAGAATAATGATCAATAAAATTTTATGAAGTTTGTGTAATTATTATAATACTTACAATTAAAAATTATAAATGAGTCTAACTAAGAATTATTAACATTTTTAGAATTAAACTAACGATATAAGATCTTATTCATGATTTTTAATAAAGAAATAATCAATATCAGATTAGAATTATAATAATTTATAAGCTTATTACTATAGATTCCAAACTAATAATGCTAATTTGATCATATTATATCATATATAAAAAATATAGAAAATGTAAATGATCAACAAAATGACTTATATTTACTAATTGTTTTTTATTATTGGAAAAAGTATTGTATGAAATATGCTTTATAAAAAGATATCAAAAACTAAGAAGATGATTTACCTAATATAGATAATAGTGAGAAAAAATATAAATATATTGAAAGGTATTTAAATAAAAAAAAATCTGATTCATAAGATAAAATATTTTTATTTGTTATTCATAGAATTTGCTATTTTGTTGAAGAAATAGAAAATATTCTAGGTAAAGATAAATATTAAGAGTTTAATAAACGAATGGTTAATCATATAAAAAATTTTTAATAAAAGAAATAATATCCTATTTTAACATATTTGAAAGATAAGTCCAAATTTTTGGAGTTTTGGAAAATCATACATTCATTAAAATTTTATAAATATGAAAATTCACAATAATCCAATTAAATTTCATAACTTATTATAAATCTTCTTTGGATTAATAATCAAAATGATGGCTTTTTCAATATATTAAATATCATAACTCCTCCCAAAAAAAAATTATTTTTATAAGCTGTAGAGTTGATAGAGGATGAAATTAATTAACAAATTACTGATTATAATGATATGAATATCTTAAAAATGAATTTTCTGAGAATAATCTATGCCCAATATCCTGAAGAAGAAAGTAATTACTTCTTGTTAAGAAATTTAATTACAAATTATGGCAGTCTTTTAAGGGCATCAATGATTTTATAAGCTAGTAAGTTTTTAAATAATAAATTAAACGAGAAATCTATATAATTTTTTGCTAAATTTGGCATAAAATTCATTGTAGTACATAAAATATTTCCAAATCAAACTCTTTCAAAATTAGCTTAAGACATACTAAATTACATGAGTTCCAATATTTAACTAAACACTTATGAATGTCTAATAATTTTGAAATCTATATTTGCTATAAAATAGGTAGATCTATCTGAGGATTTGCAATTTATTAGTATTCTTATAGAGAATTTCTGTACAAAATTGTTAGGATATTTAATCATTATCAATAATAACAAGTATATTTCACTTACTTAAGTAAAATGGACAATTTATGCCATATTTAATCTTTTCTAAAAAATAGCCTAACCTTAATTTTTATTAGTTGAAAAATGCATAGTTAAACTTTTTAAAGATAAATCTTATAATTTCCCTTTTGTTTTTAATTGTTTAAGAAATAAAATTAGTTTTGAAAAGATAATTNAATAATGCTAATTTGATCATATTATATCATATATAAAAAATATAGAAAATGTAAATGATCAACAAAATGACTTATATTTACTAATTGTTTTTTATTATTGGAAAAAGTATTGTATGAAATATGCTTTATAAAAAGATATCAAAAACTAAGAAGATGATTTACCTAATATAGATAATAGTGAGAAAAAATATAAATATATTGAAAGGTATTTAAATAAAAAAAAATCTGATTCATAAGATAAAATATTTTTATTTGTTATTCATAGAATTTGCTATTTTGTTGAAGAAATAGAAAATATTCTAGGTAAAGATAAATATTAAGAGTTTAATAAACGAATGGTTAATCATATAAAAAATTTTTAATAAAAGAAATAATATCCTATTTTAACATATTTGAAAGATAAGTCCAAATTTTTGGAGTTTTGGAAAATCATACATTCATTAAAATTTTATAAATATGAAAATTCACAATAATCCAATTAAATTTCATAACTTATTATAAATCTTCTTTGGATTAATAATCAAAATGATGGCTTTTTCAATATATTAAATATCATAACTCCTCCCAAAAAAAAATTATTTTTATAAGCTGTAGAGTTGATAGAGGATGAAATTAATTAACAAATTACTGATTATAATGATATGAATATCTTAAAAATGAATTTTCTGAGAATAATCTATGCCCAATATCCTGAAGAAGAAAGTAATTACTTCTTGTTAAGAAATTTAATTACAAATTATGGCAGTCTTTTAAGGGCATCAATGATTTTATAAGCTAGTAAGTTTTTAAATAATAAATTAAACGAGAAATCTATATAATTTTTTGCTAAATTTGGCATAAAATTCATTGTAGTACATAAAATATTTCCAAATCAAACTCTTTCAAAATTAGCTTAAGACATACTAAATTACATGAGTTCCAATATTTAACTAAACACTTATGAATGTCTAATAATTTTGAAATCTATATTTGCTATAAAATAGGTAGATCTATCTGAGGATTTGCAATTTATTAGTATTCTTATAGAGAATTTCTGTACAAAATTGTTAGGATATTTAATCATTATCAATAATAACAAGTATATTTCACTTACTTAAGTAAAATGGACAATTTATGCCATATTTAATCTTTTCTAAAAAATAGCCTAACCTTAATTTTTATTAGTTGAAAAATGCATAGTTAAACTTTTTAAAGATAAATCTTATAATTTCCCTTTTGTTTTTAATTGTTTAAGAAATAAAATTAGTTTTGAAAAGATAATTAAAATTGTTTAATTATAATTTTATTTATATTAGGATTAATAGAATAACATGTCTGAGTTAAGTTAATAATTATTTGATTAGGATGAATAATTATATGAATAATGGTTTAAAATAACAAAACCTGATTAAGTGTTGCATTCAATCGAATATTTAAAAGTCAAAAAAAGTCAATCATATTATCCAAAATAAATGGATATTCCTTTAGAGGATTTCAATTTATCATTATCTGAATATAATGAATAAGAATAAAAATAAATTCTTATTAATTGGATTTAAGATATGACAAACACATAAAAATTTAAGTAAATAATTCCTTTATTTTTCAATATAATAAAAAGAGGAGAATCACATAAAGATATATTAATTTATGCTAATTAAATTTTATAAGAAAATAAGTAAATAGCAGCTGGAATAGGATGTTTTAATTTAAAATCTTTATTTTAAATATTTTTCAATAATGCTAATGATGAATTAAGAGTGGTTCTTATGAAATTTTATTCAAAAGAACATCCAATTCCATTTTTATATTAAAATCCAATTTTAGATAATCTCAAGTCAAGAGCTGATATCTTGATGTTAAATAGCAATTTATTTTATTTTATTGAGTAAGGTTATACAATTATTAATTTGTCTTTAAGTTAGAAACAAAAGAAAATAGGTAAAACAGAACTCATCAACTAAATCTTTTATGAAAGAGATAAATTTGAAACTAGTGACACATGTTTAATGAATTCCAATACAATTGATATAATGTTTGATTTTGAATTCAATAATTCAAGAAATTTTATTGTGGCTGATGTTCATGGAACTATCATTTTTGAAACATTAATTAAAATACTTCCATTTTTTAAATTTTGGATTGTTTAAATGGATTCTTAGGAAGAATTATAAGAAAATTTAGATTAAATTAGAAAAATCTTTTAAGAAATAGGTTAATAAATAATAAATTAACTTGAAATTTGTTTTCTAGTAAGAAATACAGAAGAAACAGAACTAATGAATAAACAACCAATTACATATGAAATAGAAAATAAGAATATTAAAATTGTTTATATTCACAATTTAATTGCAAACTCAATTGACAAATAATTTAAAATAAGTTAAATTTAAAATGTATCAAAGTTCTTGTTTGATATACTTTAGGATCATTAACAAAGGCTTGAATAAAGAAATCGATAACCAGAAAATTTATAAAACTAATTCCTACTATTACTAAAATCTATGAATTCCTTATATTCTAATAATATTGATTATATAATCCAACATTAAAGTTTAGTTAATAAAATGGAAGGCAAACTAAATCAAATAGTTAATGAAGAGTATGGATTTTATTCAGAGAATGCATTTCCTATTAGACGTATTTAATGGAGTATTAAAAAACTTCGTAATCAAAATTATGAATTATGTATGAAACCTAATGAAAATAAATAAGATATTGAGAAGAATAAACAATAAATGTAAAACTTAGAAAAATAAATATAAAAATAAAATCCAACTGAATTGTTGAAACTTTTCTGTGAAATTTTTAGATAAAAACACTATTATATTATTTATCTTTGGATTGTAGATAAAATAAGGCAATTTAATGAAAAAAATTTAATAGATTTATAGCAAAAAGATTATGAATTAAATGAATAGTTTAATAAATTAAAATAAGAAAAACATAAAATAAAATAGATATATCTCAATGATTTACAAAAATTATGTGAAAACGAAAGAAATAAAAAAATTAAAAATGAAATGTCTAAATTAAAAGAATTAATGGTTAACAATGCGTAGAAAATTTCTCAAATAAATGTCGGTGTTGAGTTATTTTGGAGAGAATTAATTAGCTTAAGAAAATCAAATTATTGTGAGCTAGAATTTGATTCAGTTGAAACCATCTCTTAATTGATTAGAAAAGGAGAATCATTAGAATTTCTAGATGGAGACACTTTATCAATTAACACTGAATTTTTATTTGACTTAGAAAATAAAATAACATAAAATAAACAATAAAAAATCTTAGTAATAAGTATATTAGGTCCTTAAAGTTCAGGTAAATCAACTATCTTAAACAAAATTTTTGGATGCCATTTTTGGGCTAGTGTAGGAAGATGTACAAAAGGAATTCATTTATAAATATTGCAAGTGTAAAATAAGTCATTATTTTAAAATTTATTTGATTAAATACTCATTCTAGATACAGAAGGTTTATAAAATCCAAATTAAATTGATTCTGAATTTGACAAAAAGATTGCATTATTTGTGCTTTCAATTAGTGATATTATTATGATAAATGTAAAAGGAGAAATAAATTAATAATTTAAAAGTTTGGTTGAAATGTGTATATTTACTTTGGGACATTTTAAAAATGGATTTTCAATGTTTAAATAATTAAGTTGGTTTTTCAATTAAAATGATAATTACAAAAATGTCTAACCATTTAAATAATAAATTAAAGACCTTGCATAAAATTTAAATTTATAATGGAATGAAAAATATTTTGAATAATAAGAAGAATAAATTGATTACGCAGAGATTTTAGATATTAAAGATAACATTTCTGGTTTAGGGTTTGCTTCTGATTAGAAAGATTGGGGTAAGAATGGTTGGAATCAATCTGTAAATAATCATACATTTTCTCGAGAAGCATACAAATAGGGAATCAATATGATAAAACAATTTATAATAAAACTTTAAGATTAAAATGACCCATTATGCAATTTTAATAATTTTCTGTAAAATGTTCGAAGAAATTGGCAAAGTATAGAAAAGTTGCCAGATTTATTAGAGTTTAGTGAATTGATTTAGCATTAATAAAACTTATTAATGGAAAAATATTTTGATGATCTTTGGCAAAGGTAAGAAATAACTTAAGTAAATGAAAGGTTAACAAATGACACTAATTTGTAGATATAAAATTAAAGATAGATCTCCTTTGAAGTTTACAAAGAAATAGAATTATAAAAAGAAAATGATATTGAATCAGCATTTACATAAATCAAAACGTAAATTATAGAATAAATGAATTAATTTAAAAGCGAGAATAAAATTCAGAAAAAAATAATGTCAAAATATTTTAAAAAGCTAGAAAATTTAATTAAAAATGAGTAAATAAATTGCTAATAAAATATCATTTATTTAATTAAAAATTATGAAGGAGAATATTAAAAGAAAAAAGGTTATGTATAAATTGATAATTTTATTTAAAATGTTTTAAACGACGAATTTTTGAAAAAGAAATTTTAAGGACATGATTAATTAATTGAATAAGAATTTAAAGTATAATGGAAATAATATATAAATGAAACTAATAGCGCATCAGAATAATAATATTGTGAAATGGTATAGGCCTAATACAAAGCTATTAAATCTATTTCTAATCTATATATTTTAAATACAAAAAATGAACCAGATTTTTTCTTATACTTTAGGGATGAAATAATCAAATAAAATCCTTATTCCTCTTCAAACGAAGAATAGGAAAAGATATATTAACTATTTATGAAAGAATTCTAATAAACTGAACAATTCATATGCATAGAGAACAACAAATAGAATTTAGCTTATCTTGATATTTTCCATTAAACAATTTAAGAGAAATTAGAAAAATCTAAAGATTAATTATTAGATATGAAATCATTTTACTCTTAAGAGATCAACTATTAAGTTGTTGCAAAAATTGAAATTTAATACTATTTAAATTAACAATTTGAATAAGATTTTCAATTGTTTTTAAAAAAGTATGAAAATTAAAATAATTCAAGTTATTCATTTTTTAATTTTATATCTATTTTAGACTATTTGCAAATTTCATATGATAAGAAGTTAAAAGAATAATTAGATAATGTTGTAAATAATCCTTCTCTTTGGGATAATATTTAACAATTTTTTACTAGTAAAAAGACTTAGGCTTATGAAGCCTTTTAGGAATTGAAAAAATCACTTAAAACCTAATAGCATTATAACAAAGAAATTGACTTGACTGGCTCCACATTTGGTTAAACTTTTAAGAATACTTATTCTAGTTTAAAAATTACCTAAAAAACAGATCAAACATGGTATAATAATTAACAATTTAAAAAAGAACTTTTATATAAAAACATTATAATTGGTACACAAATTGAAATTTAACCAAGTTAAACTAGCTATTAAGAATCTTTTCAATATATAAAGTCTCCTTAAGCTCATAAACCTTATTTTTTCAGAACAAACTTTCCAAAATAATTGAATGCAATTATGATTGAATAAAATGGTTGGAATAAACTTTATAATGAACTTTACAATTTAATAAAACAAGAAATTAGTAATTCGAAATTAAAAATAGAATATTAAGGATCTAATCAAATTGAATGTTTAAATAAAAATAACGAGGATGAAAATATTTAATCTTTTAGTTCTTATTTAATCACAGGTATAATGTAAAAGATTGAAAACAATATAAAAGTAAAATATAATAATTAATTTGCTTAATATGGTGTGATTTTAACTGATGTTGGAGAAAGATGTATATATTATTATTCTATGTTAATTATTTGGAGATTCATTTGTTTTTAACGGTGGAATTCAAAAAATATTTAATAAAAACATTAGAATAATTATTAAAATGAATTAAATAGATGTATTGCTGAAATTAATTAAGATAATGAAAAGTAAAGTCGTATTAGAGCGACAGAATTCGTGAAAAAATTATAAATTAATTTAAAAAATTAATTTTTGGAAAGAACTAAGAAAGAAGTATTAAAAAAAATGAGTTAAATAAGTATGTCAAATGTTGAACTTATAGCAAAATTAGACCACGAATTTTTAATTGATGTCAATGAAAAAACATTTCAAGATTTGTAGTTTTAACAATAAATACTATCTTATACGATTGATCATAAATAATATATTAATAATTACACTTAAGATATGTTAACATAATAATAACTTGGATTATTAAATGAATATTCCAATAAATATAGAAAAGAATTAAATCTATATTTAAAGAGTATATAAGAAAATGCAACAATTTTATTTAAATATATTTAGAATTAAAAAAAGGAAGTAAAGACAATTAAATATTTTAATGAAGATTATTAAAAAGACAACATAATTTATGAAAACTAACTCTTCAGATTCCTTATGTAATGTCTTCTTTGTAGATTTGAAGATTAAATAGATATAATCAAATAATAATATAAAGAGATATTCTAAGTTAGCAATTACAATCCTGTAAAGAGTTAATTTACCTTAAGTTGGTCATTATGTAATTCATAAGATTAATAAGTTTATAATCTGAAAACTTTTGTTGAAACATTAATTTAATAAATAGAGCTAATATTAACAAATATAGAATAAATTAAATTTACATCAAGTGAATACTAACTTGATGTTGAATTTGGTAAATTAAAATTGTAAATGAATGGTTGTGAATATACATGTCCATGTTGTAAAAGAAAATGCGATTAAGATAATAATGATAATAGTCATACTCATTAATGTTAAAATGGACATTAAATTAGAGGTAATATTATGGTAATATATTTAGGTATTAACGGTATTTTGATTTCAAAAAATAGTCCATCATTGTTCACTTGTGAAGAAATCCTTGATGAATGCATTATTAAGACACTTGAAACTAATCTATAGAAAACTTGGAAAGAAGTTAAAAAAACCCATCAAACTTGGAATTTCTAAACTTTTAATGATGAACTAATTGTTTAAAATAAAGAAAAATGGAAAAATGCTTGGAATAGAGGTTTAGGAAAATTAATTTGTTAACATTTAGAAAAATAATTGAATCACGAAGTCATATTCTCATAAAAATCAGAAATAGAAACTTAAGTTTCTAACATTCATTATATTCTCATTCTTGATGATTCAGGTTCAATGAAAGGAGATTAGTGGATTAAAGCAAAGGATGGAGCTTTACATTGTATAAAATAATTAGATAATACCGATTGTGCAAAAGTTAGTGTTATAATCTTCAATTAAGATGCAAGAATTGTGGTAGAATGTTAAAAACCAAATTATAAAGAAATGATTGAAAAAATTAATTATAATGGAGGTGGTACCTGTTTTGAAAATCCATTTAAATTAGTTCTAGAATTGATTAAAAAACATAAAGGTTTTAATAAGTAAGTACATTTAAAATATTAGAATTTAAATATTATTTTATACTGATGGAGAATCAGGTTATCCATAAAATATAGTTGATCAATTCTGTTAATTACCACAGGATATAAGATAACTCATCAACCTAACAGCTTGCTCTGGAGAAAAGTCTTCACAAACATTAGCACTCATAATATAGAAATTCTAATAACATATGTAATCAGCATAATTAAGAAATTCTGTTTAGCCAAAGGATATTTAAAGAGTTTGGATAGAAGTAGTAAGCAAAGCTATTCATTAGTAACTAGCATGAATATTAATTTATGAAGTGTTAAATAATCCATATTACAGATTATTATTAACATAATGACAATTGTCTTAAATTTTTCTAGGCTTCTTATAGATATTTTTAAATAATTACTTATTCTTGATCTTATGAAAGTATCCAATATTATTTTAATCAAGCTTAAATTTTATAAATTTAAGTTTGAGATTTACTGAAGTGTATTATTCTAACAAAATTAGCAAGTAATTGGAATTAAAATTTGAAAAGAATTCTTAATTCTATTTAAACTGATTTTTCTAAAATTTTAATTTTATCGTTTGAATAAAATTATCACCAAAAATTACAACAAATTTCTTGTCGAAAAAGATATATTTTGTAGTTTAAAACTGTCTCTTGTTATGAATCAATGCATCCTCTATTAATTTATATTTTGTACAATTATTGAGAAAAAGATAGTTTTTAACATTAAGATTATAATCGGACATTTCCTTCTCATGATTTTGTAAGAATTTTCTAAGACGAGTTGAATTAAAATCATTGTGTTACTATTTAAAAGGCATGTCTCAAAAGAGTTGATTTCTAAATATTTGATACCTTACTTTAAATGCCTTTAAGTTTCATAGGGAGTAAATATTTTACAGAGTTTAAGCCTCTTTTAGTTGTTCAGCTAAATCAAAATACAGTTTTAGCAAGACAAATGAACTTAATTATATTTATTATATGTTTCATATATTAATTATGATTAATCAAGTTTATCATTTAAAATTATTCGAAAAATATACTTCTTAGATGATCGTTCAACTAATTAGAATAGTTCAAATGAATTACAACTCATTATCCCAATTGCTGAAATATTCACTTTAATTTCACAAATTTAGCGATATTAATTAAAAAGCTGTTCTTTATAAAAAAAATGAAAATTAATAGGATATTACTTCAAAACAAAATTATTTTATCTTAAAATCCTCTAAAATCAATTTTAATTCTTTCAAATAATTTGACAGTCAGATTTATTAATTTTTCATTTTAGTCTTATTTCTATCAATTTCATAGGTCTTGATCTATCAATCTTTTATTTTTAATTACTGTCAAGAAAATTTACAAAATTGTACTGTATATAGAACTTGATAAAATAGAGACAAATCATTCACTTAGATTCTATCTTAATCAATAAGATAAATAAAGGCCAATCAAAATTATATAGAAAATAGAGCTAAACAAAAAAATCTCCAAGTAATTTTCCTAGTAATTTAATAAATATTTTGAGAACATTGAAGATATTTATGAGTAATAAACTCATTATCCGAATAATTATTATCTAGCTTGTTCCGTTTGTAAATTACTCACAACAGTTGAATCTATCCTTTTTTATTCTTGGATATTAAATAAACATAGAAAGTTCTCATAGATCTATACTTTCAAATGAGCAAAAGTTTTTTTTTTGAAATATTCTATTCCAGAACAAACTTAAACAAATATTTTAGGAAGTCTCAAAATATTGTCAAATTACTTTAAAAATGAATATTTTTATGGAGACTATTTAACTCTGTCAAATTCTTATAATATAGAACAAGTGAGATTTCAATTTACTAAAGGCTTACTATTTACTATTGGCTCCCTTTATAAACTTCAGCAGCATTTTATACATCTCAAAGTTTTTGAAGTTTTCATTCAAATTAAACAGGAAACCAGACTAAATGTAGACGCTCAGATATTCAAGTAAGTCCAAGGATCATTTTCCCAGCAGATTAATTCTAAAGTTAAAAGGGAGTGAGCTGTAGTATGATTTGAATATATATCTAGTTGCTGTAGCTTTCCGAACATAAGCTAATCTTTATTTCAAAGAGTTAAATTTTTCCATTTTTTTTTGAATTTATTTAGACCACCTCTTAAATCCTTTTTGAAATGATCCTCTAAGCTAATGTTTAGAGGGCTTTTTAAACTATAGATAAAAATTATAAACCATAATGAAAAAATCACAAATAGTCTAAAATAGATATAAAATTAAAAAATGAATAACTTGAATTATTTTAATTTTCATACTTTTTTAAAAACAATTGAAAATCTTATTCAAATTGTTAATTTAAATAGTATTAAATATCAATTTTTGCAACAACTTAATGATTGATCTCTTAAGAGTAAAATGATTTCATATCTAATATTTAATCTTCTAAAAATATCTCTTAGTTTTTATACTTTAAATGACTAAAAGAGTACAAGGAAATAAAAGAAAAAGCTAATTACATCTTATTTATTTTCTGAAATATTCAAATAAATATTTGATAATAAATCTCCTATTATTTTATCGATAAAATTGATTAATAGGATAATGGAATGCTCTTGGCTTATCTATATAATCCATTTATTATAATTATATCATTATTTACTTTTTTATGGTATGTAAATTAAGTTGTTTATATTATGCTTTATTTCAAATTTAAATTTATTAACAATAATTTCTTTAAGAATATTTAGTTATCAAAAATCAAATTAATAAAATGTAGTGTATTGATTATATTTGAATTGAATTCTTAAAGTTCAATTTCTTTAAGTATATTTTGATAAAGAAACTTTTAATTTTATAGATTAAGGTTTTATTGAATCTCCTAATTATTCAAAATTATTTTACTCTAATCAACTTTAAAATAAATATTTTTATTATTTAAATCTTAATTATTTAAGTATGATTTTGATATATTATATTACTCATCAATAGAAAACTATTTTAAATATGTCTTCACTAGAAAATTTTCACTTTTTACTTTTTATTTTATTTAAAAACATCCCATTGACATGGCAAGATTTGTTGATTTATTGGTTCTAGCCATTTACTCATAAATTGCCTATAGCATAACGGTAGGCCTAAGTCCAAAAGAATTCCAATCTTCATCAATCTTCTTATTAGACATGTTTTGGCTAACTTTGATGGATACTCTCTACAATTATTTCCATCTCTCTAACTTCTTAATAGAACAATTTTTCATTAATGAGGCATCATATTCAAAAGTGAGGTTTAATATAAGCCATACTTAATTGAGAGAATTCTAAATAAAATTTTTTAATTAGAAACACAAAAAATTTAGCTTAACTTTAATATATTCTTAGATCTTACTTTGTGTAAAATTAGCAGTCCCAGATATTTAAAATTTGTATTTTTTCAAAGCCCATATCTTTAAAGTTTTTCAAACCTTTTCTTATACTAAAAATCAAATTTGATTTTTTAAAATTCACTTTGAAACCATACTCATCCGCAATAACTAAAATTTATTACGCAATTCAGATTGAAACATCGTCAATGTAGCAAAAAATCTAGTAGCATTTGCATTACTGAATCTGTTTTGGTTGTTTTATTTTTTGATTACTAATAATCTTTTTTCTAATTTATCTCTAAGGAAATCAAAATACACATCAAAAGAAGAAAGGTGCTAATAAAAAACCTTAATGAACCCCTAAGTAAAAATAAAAACTTCTTTTCTACACAAGGTTATTCTATGTATAGCTATTCGTACAACCACGTATTTAAAAATAATAATTCTCAGTTTAATCATTACTTGAAATTATCTTTCACTGAAATAACTCAATTATGATTGAAAAAACAAATATCTAAGCTCTTCCCATTCTAATGATGCCAAATATCATGAAAATCATAATATATTCTGATTGAGGAGTTAGTATTAGAATGATAAGAACTTTATATAAAAATTGATGCAATAATATGTATAATTATATTGGCTTTTTGAATAAAAAACTAATATTAGTATATTTTTGAAGCCATAAAAGAGACATTGAATCATTAGATAACTTCCAGTAAATAAGTAGGCTTTATTAATAAAATTTGATAGAAAATGTTCTTAAAATTTATCATTTTTCTAAATTACAAATACTATAATCAATTTCTTTCATAATTGTTAAATGCAAAGAGTAAAGATTTTTATTTCATAGTTTAAAAAATGATATAGAATTTTTTTTATATATTTACCAGAATATATCAGTTATTTATGATTATTTAAACTGCAAATATGAATAAAATGATATTATATTAATTATTCAATGAGTAGTGGAAAGAAGATAAGACCTGGGCGTCCAAGAAAAAAAGAAAAAGTAGTTTTGGAAAATTAAAGATCTTCAAACGATGAAATTTAATTTATAGCAGATGATTCTGATTGTGAAAGAATATTATAAATATTTGCCTAATTAGCTAACTATAAAATCATAACCAAAGTAGGACCAAAAAGAATTAAAAAAAGTGATAAGGAAAAAGCGGCAGAAGCATTTGAAAAAGTGAGAAAAGTTCTTGCTGAATTTGAAATAGAAGATAAGTAATTCTTTCTTTTGTCAGATGAAAACAAAAAGTACAAGATTGAGAATGAATAATTAGTTGATAAAACTGAATATAAATTGATTGACTAAAATGAATTTGATGAAAAATTTTAACTTTTGATTCAAAAAATTAATATAGTCAATAGAGAATTGGATAAAAAATTTATTGATATATTGAAAGAAATTTTAATACAATATTCATAATTAGTGGTGAATAGGGAAGAAAACTCTTAATCTATTACTGAAAAAATTATTCAAAATATTAAAAATCCTGAGAATTAAGATATATTTTAATATTTATTAATATGGTAAAGATTAAGAAGCATTACTAAAGAAGCTCGTATAGAGAATGCATTAGAAAACTTAGAAGAAAAACGAAACGAATGCAACAACAAAAAGTCTTAAAAAGTAAAGAGAAAACTTTAAGACTTTATTGATTATCATGAGAGAGAATTAATTGAAGAAAATAGTATGGAACCAATCGAATATTTAATTACCAAACTAATTTTAGTATTTAACTAAATTATAGAAAATAATTGATAATATATTATGCATAGTCGATCATATAAAAATTATTTGATTATTCATTATTTTTCATATACTTATAGAAAATCCCTCTACAATCATAATTTTTCATTATTTATTTGAATTTGATATTTTCATTAATTGGAACTTATTTCATTTATAAACTTTTTTTCATACTAGATTATTAAATAAATTTTTAAATATCCTTTAATATCTTTTCAAGATTTAATAAGTAGAAGTAAATCTTATTATTTGAGACAATATCTATTTATGTATTCATAAAATTCAACAAGATATAATCATTATAATCGAAATTGTCATTTTATAACATTGAAATCTTTCCCTTCATATAGCTTGTTATATGAAATTTTTTTTAATTTTTGCTGTTTTAACTAGATGCCAAAATTGTAGGGATAATCATTCGGTATAAATAGCAAAAGAATTATCTAAAATTAGTTTCAATAGAGATCTAATTATAGCTTGTAATTTATAATATTTAGTATTCCAATAAAAAGTGAAATAAATAAATGGTTGTTGTAAAACTCATTAAGAAATTGTACTAATTAAATTTAGGTAAAGTTCTATAACATTTAAACGTAGAGCTTAAAAGCACAATAGATTAAAATACTTTAAAGTATTTTCAACTTTGAATCTCTGGGATATTTGAAAAAGACTTTAGTTTAAAGAAGAGCAAAATATATTTTGAAATAAGGTTTCAGATAAAGGTTAAGAAAAATAATCTAAAATTATTAGAAGACCAGAATAACTTTTTTTTAGCTTTTTACTAAAAGTTTATTCTTTCATTGAATATATATTTTTCCTTAAGTAGGTTCTAGAATGCTAAGCTAATTAATTAATCTATTTTTCATCTATCAGATTATAAGTTAATAAGTAAATAAAGGTTGGCCATTATTAATAAAATTTGGATATAAAGAGTTTTCAAACAAAAACAAACAAGAAAAAGATTGTATTTTAAATAAACTTATAATATCTTAAAATTATAGGAAAATAAGATGAATTAGACAGTTATTTAATAGAGATTTGAACTTATCAAGTTTAAATTTGAAGTTGAAATTTTTGTGTTATATTAAATCTGATGACAATCGCACAAAGAAATTTAAGATTTTATGAATAAATGTGTAATCCTGCTTATCTAAAGGCTTAAAAATAGAAATGAAATCCTATTTATAAGTTTAAAGCCATTAATTTTTAGGATTGTATATTATTGAAAAAGAGCATAACATAATCCCATTTTAACCAATTTATTAAATAACTATAGAATGTTTGTTGGTTAATCTGACCCAAATATTTTATAATTATATTTGATTTAATCTGATATTACTAACATAATTAGAGTTCAAATTTTTTTATATAATAAATATATATATCTTATTTTAAATGATTGGAAGACAATAAGTTGAGACAAAAAAAGTGATAATACAATAATTAAATCTTAAAAATTACAAAATATAATTTATAGTTCTATTATATTTTTCAATTAGCAATTAAAAGAAGTTGATATTTTATTTTAACTTTAATAAAATTTAACTGAAAGAATTTAACAAACCTATATCTATTACTTTCATTCTTTTTACACAATCTTGTCTTAAATTGATTTTTCTTAAATTAACAATAATTTTAGCAAAATATTTTGAGTTTTATTTATCAAAATTTTATTTTAAAGCAGTTGAAAAAATTAGAATTTAATTAGTTTCAATTACAGTTTTTCATTTTAATTTTATATGTAGATTGGAGATCTCATTAACTTAAAGTTCTATTTTGTAAAGCATATTGATATAAATTAAATTTAATTCTATTTGCTAACCCTAAACTCTATTAGATTTAATAACTAATGCGCTTTTTCAGATTTCTTTTTCTATAGAAATACAAACTTAAGACACATATAATTTGAAGCCTCTTATTTCAAATNTACTAAAAGTTTATTCTTTCATTGAATATATATTTTTCCTTAAGTAGGTTCTAGAATGCTAAGCTAATTAATTAATCTATTTTTCATCTATCAGATTATAAGTTAATAAGTAAATAAAGGTTGGCCATTATTAATAAAATTTGGATATAAAGAGTTTTCAAACAAAAACAAACAAGAAAAAGATTGTATTTTAAATAAACTTATAATATCTTAAAATTATAGGAAAATAAGATGAATTAGACAGTTATTTAATAGAGATTTGAACTTATCAAGTTTAAATTTGAAGTTGAAATTTTTGTGTTATATTAAATCTGATGACAATCGCACAAAGAAATTTAAGATTTTATGAATAAATGTGTAATCCTGCTTATCTAAAGGCTTAAAAATAGAAATGAAATCCTATTTATAAGTTTAAAGCCATTAATTTTTAGGATTGTATATTATTGAAAAAGAGCATAACATAATCCCATTTTAACCAATTTATTAAATAACTATAGAATGTTTGTTGGTTAATCTGACCCAAATATTTTATAATTATATTTGATTTAATCTGATATTACTAACATAATTAGAGTTCAAATTTTTTTATATAATAAATATATATATCTTATTTTAAATGATTGGAAGACAATAAGTTGAGACAAAAAAAGTGATAATACAATAATTAAATCTTAAAAATTACAAAATATAATTTATAGTTCTATTATATTTTTCAATTAGCAATTAAAAGAAGTTGATATTTTATTTTAACTTTAATAAAATTTAACTGAAAGAATTTAACAAACCTATATCTATTACTTTCATTCTTTTTACACAATCTTGTCTTAAATTGATTTTTCTTAAATTAACAATAATTTTAGCAAAATATTTTGAGTTTTATTTATCAAAATTTTATTTTAAAGCAGTTGAAAAAATTAGAATTTAATTAGTTTCAATTACAGTTTTTCATTTTAATTTTATATGTAGATTGGAGATCTCATTAACTTAAAGTTCTATTTTGTAAAGCATATTGATATAAATTAAATTTAATTCTATTTGCTAACCCTAAACTCTATTAGATTTAATAACTAATGCGCTTTTTCAGATTTCTTTTTCTATAGAAATACAAACTTAAGACACATATAATTTGAAGCCTCTTATTTCAAATGTTTCCGAATTAGCTGTAAATTACATCCAAATTATTGATATTTATTTTTAACATATGAGTGGTAAAACTTCAAAACAAACTTTTAAGTTAATAGTAAAACTAAATTGATATTTTGAAAATCATAATAAATCTCTTGATTGATTATATTTTTTTATTCTAAATAAAATAGATCAATTTACATTTTTTTAATATATAAAATATCAAATCTGTTCAATGAAAGTTGAAAGCATATTTTAATATTGTTATTTCTCAAAACATGTTATCAAAATTAAGACTAATGATGATTGAACAAAGTCTTTGATTAAATTAATAATTTATTATATTCAAATGCTTTGGACTTGCAATAGCCATATTAAGGATATAGAATTCATTTGTTTAAACCCAAATTGTTCTGAAACGAAAATCTCTTGTTTTTAATGCATTTAAAATGGGAATCACATATCCCATCTAAAAGATGTGAAAAAAATTGAAAATTTTTATGAATTATATTCATAAGAATCAAATGACAATACTATTTTGCTCAACAAGTTTGGTTTATTAATTGAAAAAATAAAACATCAATTTCAAATAATTATTGACGGAATTCAACTTAAATATCATATAACAGAAAGTCAATATTAAAATTTGAATACAGAATAAATTAATCACCTAGCCTTTTCTTTCATCGAATGGAAAAAGGATAGGGATTTTATAGAAAATACAATTTCAGGAAGCATTAATTAACTATTGGAATCAATCAATATTTGCATTAATACTCTAAAATTACAATAGAATAAAATTAATTCACTTAATATATAACAAGAATAAAAAATATTAAAATATGAATTAATTAATTCAATTAAAGATGACGATATATTTGCTTTTGCTTTTGATAATGTATCTTCATTAATGGTTGCTGGATATAGTTCAAGTACAATAAAAGTATTTGAATTTAATTAGGGAAATTTGAATTTTCTTCAAGAATTAAACGATCATAACTCTTTTATTTATTGTTTATATTTTATGAAAAAATCTTAATGCTTTCTATCGGGGAGTGGAGATAAATCAATTATTTTATGGTCTATTAATCAAAATAAATAATTTTTTTGCAAATAGAAATTGTAGGGACATAATGATAGTATTAATTGTCTTATAATGAGTGAAAATGAGGAACTGATTATTTCAGGTAGTAGTGACAAAACCATCAGATTTTGGACTAAGAATTCACAACCATCATGGAATTGTTAATAAATCTTAAGTGTTCATAAAAATCCTGTCAATTCAATTAGTTTAAATGAATCCTCAACATAGTTAATCTCATGTGCATAAAATGAGAATTTTATAATAATCAGCTAATAATAAGTTGATAGATTATTTTGGGAAGTAATTTCAACCATCCAAGTTGATTAATGGGGATATAGATTATGTTATATAAATAATTTAATGTTTACATTTTAACCGAAATCCAAAGAATAAATGTATATCTATTAAATTGATGATAAAAATGGTTAATTTAAAAAAACTAAAGAATTAACTATTAAAGCAGGACATTGTTCAATGTACTTTCCTCAGTAATATATAAAATCTAAATCAATTTTGCTCAATAAAAATGGAAATCATGTAAATTTAATCAGGAAATTGGAGAATCAAGAATTTGTGACTGAATAATCAATTGATTTTAGAACTCAATATATTTACGGAATGATGTCTTAGGATGGAGATTATTTAATAACATATGATGATTAAACAAGGGAAATATAAATAAGAAAAATATTTTAATGATTGATTATATTATATGCATAAATGTTTTTGTGAACAAATTTTATTAAACTTGAAATCATAAGCTGAAGATTATCTAAAGCTTATAACTTATTAATTGTGAATATTTATTTTGAAAAATGTATTCATAATACTTTTGTTTGTAATAAAAGTAAAAAATAAGTAATATATATCAAAATAATTTCGAATAGTGATATGATATTTATTAATAATAATAATAATAATAATAAAAAAAAGGGTTGTCAACACGAGGACTTCCCAAGCGGTCCCCCACCTTAGTACTAACCTCGCCTTAAGCCGCTTAACTTCGGAGTTCGAATGGGATCCGGTGCTTTAGGCTTAGTATGGCCGACAACGATATTTATATTATTTACTATTATTTATACTCCTTATTTAATAATTATTTCTATTTAATTACTAAAATACAATTTATATTTGAAAAAAAAATATATGTAATTTATATCCATTAGATATATTTTGATAATGAGCTTGAATAATTAGAGGGGTTTCTCTTTTAAATACTATAATTTTATATTCTGATTTAAAATTTATTTATGAAAATAATGTTATTAAATTTATTAAATGATTCCAATATAAAAATTAGCTTCTTTATTGATTCGTACATTCTCAAAACCTCTGTCTAATTAAATTAAGAGATATGCATTAAATAAGCATAGATCTAAAAAACCCAGCTTTGTAAAAACAGCCTTTGTGTTCTTAGGGAACAAATACCATAATTTTGAGACTTTTATTAATCGAAAATCTATTGGAATTAAAAGTTAAGAAATGTTTTTTAAACCTTTGAGTGATGAAGCAGCTTTAAATAAAGGTAGTATTTGATTAATTTTAGGATCTGATTTATTTGCAGATATATTTGTTTATGCATGTATTTTAGGAATTCCTTTGTTGGAGTTGTACAAATCTTAAAGAGATTCAGCCAAGAAATCATAAGAATAAGACACTGCGCTTTAGAACTATTAAACTGTAATTATATAGTCAAAATAGAGTAAATAGATAATCTTAAATAATTAAATGATCAATTCTAGATTGAATATAGCAGAATAGTGGCAGAAAATTAATATATTTAGCAATCTCTAAAACATTTTGAAAAAGATATCGATGATTAAGTCCAACATTTATAAAAACAACTAAAATCTTGAAAAATAAATAATGATTACAAAATTATTGTTATTTAAAAATAATAAATAAAGAGCAGGGACATTTTTCATATTTAAAATTCAAATTTCAACGCTATTTCTAGATTTAGTACAACTTATTATATCAGTCAACATTCCATTAAACCAAATACCTTTTTAATACATTCCTTGCTATATAAAAACTCCTTGACCATGTTGTACATTATTATCCCATTCTCCTTCATATGAACTTCCATCAGTAAATTTATATTTTCCAAATCCATGCTTTAATCCATCTTTCCATTATCCATTATAATAACTACCATCAGGATATTTATATTTGCCATTACCATTTTTCTAAGCTTCAATCCAATCACCTTCATAAATACTCCCATCTTAGTATGTTTGTTTACCAAAACCATTTTACTTATTATTCACCCATTCTCCTTCATAACAACTTCGATCTTATTACTTATAAATTCCTTTTCCATTCTTTTAATCATTCTNCTCCTTATTTAATAATTATTTCTATTTAATTACTAAAATACAATTTATATTTGAAAAAAAAATATATGTAATTTATATCCATTAGATATATTTTGATAATGAGCTTGAATAATTAGAGGGGTTTCTCTTTTAAATACTATAATTTTATATTCTGATTTAAAATTTATTTATGAAAATAATGTTATTAAATTTATTAAATGATTCCAATATAAAAATTAGCTTCTTTATTGATTCGTACATTCTCAAAACCTCTGTCTAATTAAATTAAGAGATATGCATTAAATAAGCATAGATCTAAAAAACCCAGCTTTGTAAAAACAGCCTTTGTGTTCTTAGGGAACAAATACCATAATTTTGAGACTTTTATTAATCGAAAATCTATTGGAATTAAAAGTTAAGAAATGTTTTTTAAACCTTTGAGTGATGAAGCAGCTTTAAATAAAGGTAGTATTTGATTAATTTTAGGATCTGATTTATTTGCAGATATATTTGTTTATGCATGTATTTTAGGAATTCCTTTGTTGGAGTTGTACAAATCTTAAAGAGATTCAGCCAAGAAATCATAAGAATAAGACACTGCGCTTTAGAACTATTAAACTGTAATTATATAGTCAAAATAGAGTAAATAGATAATCTTAAATAATTAAATGATCAATTCTAGATTGAATATAGCAGAATAGTGGCAGAAAATTAATATATTTAGCAATCTCTAAAACATTTTGAAAAAGATATCGATGATTAAGTCCAACATTTATAAAAACAACTAAAATCTTGAAAAATAAATAATGATTACAAAATTATTGTTATTTAAAAATAATAAATAAAGAGCAGGGACATTTTTCATATTTAAAATTCAAATTTCAACGCTATTTCTAGATTTAGTACAACTTATTATATCAGTCAACATTCCATTAAACCAAATACCTTTTTAATACATTCCTTGCTATATAAAAACTCCTTGACCATGTTGTACATTATTATCCCATTCTCCTTCATATGAACTTCCATCAGTAAATTTATATTTTCCAAATCCATGCTTTAATCCATCTTTCCATTATCCATTATAATAACTACCATCAGGATATTTATATTTGCCATTACCATTTTTCTAAGCTTCAATCCAATCACCTTCATAAATACTCCCATCTTAGTATGTTTGTTTACCAAAACCATTTTACTTATTATTCACCCATTCTCCTTCATAACAACTTCGATCTTATTACTTATAAATTCCTTTTCCATTCTTTTAATCATTCTTCCATAATCCTTTATAAAAACTTCCATTTTTATATTACATTTTCCCCAATCCATTCTTCTAACCATTTTCCCATTTTCCTTCATAAAAACTTCCATCAGCATAATAATATCTACCTTGTCCATGTTTCTTTCCATTAAACCATTATCCCTCATATTAACTATTATCAATATTAACATGTTTTCCTTCTCCTTGTTAAACATTATTATGCCATTATCCATCATAATAACTTCCATCTTTATATTTATATTTCCCTAAGCCATGCTTTTAATCATCTTTCCACATTCCAGAATATTAGCTACCATCAGAATATTAATAAGTCCCTTTCCCATTCTTCATACCATTATTCCAATTTCCATCATAAGTACTCCCATCAGAATAGATCTATTTACCTTAACCATTCTATTTGTTATTCCCCCATTATCCTTCATAAATGCTACCATCTTCAAAAATATATTGTCTTTGCATTGTACAAAAAGATTGAGGATTAAAATTATTTAAATAATGTGTTTTATAAATAAAAAATTTCATTATATAGAATTTATGAAATAAAGGATAAAATATAACTCTCATTCTCTATTAATGCTTTGAATTCTTCTTTTTTTAATTAGACAACCATTTAATAACTAGAATTTGATTTACGTCAATTAAGAATCCTATTTATTAATTTTACTTTTAATTCTAAAAATATACAATTCTAATTTGATAAGCATATCAGGGTAGATAATATAGAAAATAATACATATTTTCCTTATTAAACTAGGTAAATTTTTAAAGAATTTTTATTGATTTAATAAATTTAATAAGAAATATGCCAACAAAAGCAAAATATGATGAATTTGAAATTTAAAGATTTTTTGGTTGTCGTGAGGTATAAAGAAGACTAATAACATATAGTATAAAGTTAAATTAGGGAAAAATAATCAAGGCCAATACTTTTTGCTTAATTTCTTTCATATCAGCGAGAGGGATTAACTTTAAAAATTATAAAACATCCAAAATATAGAGCATCCTGCCATTCTTAAGATAGTTTAGATCAGAAATGAAGGAATATACACAGTTTAATATTAAAAATGATAATTAGAAAAAAAATAACACTTTATTAAACAGATCATGTGTGATTTATGAATATCCTACAGGGGGTGAACTATATGAATACTTATTCTAAACAGGAAAATTCCATGAAGCCTAAGCCAGAGTATATTTTAAATAACTTGTTGAGGGTAAAAATAATTGACATTTAAAAGGATTGATTTCAATTCATAGGTTAGGATTATATCATGGAGAATTGACAACAGAAGTAATCTATTTTTCTGATGCAAAAACCATTAAAATTGGTGAGCTAGGACTTAATTAGATAAGAAAAAAAAAATATAGTAAAATATATTTAAAAGTATTAGCTTTTGAGACTCCAACATGGAATAAAGAGAATAACAATTACGAATAAAGTAAAGATATTTTTGCACTTGGGATGATCTTGTTCATTCTAATGGTTGGAAAACCTCCATTCTCCAACACTGAAAAGACAAACCCAAATTTTTCTGGTTTGTAATCTGCATCTCAAGCAATTTGGAAACAGCTAAAAATGATTTATCCTAATGTGGCTTTCACTGATGAATTTATGTAAAATATTCTTTGCTTATTTCTATTAGGGACCTTATAGAAGGAATGTTGACTGCTAGTCCAAAAAATAGAATGTCGTTAAGTGAAGTTTATAATCATCCATGGACTTAGATTTAATCAGAATTTACAGAAGAAATGGTTAGAGAGTTTAATTCAAAGCAAAAGAAGATTGAATAATTTTTAATAAAAGCCAGTTTAACTCGTGAGCTTAAATAAGGGCAGATGATTATTAGCAATAATAAATAAACACGTATAATAAAAATTCATATGTAGTTCAAACAGGACTTGGTTTGTTTAGATCAGAAAATGAAGCAACAAAACAATCTGAGGTGATATAAGAAATTTAGTAGATTGAAAATAAAGCTTTAAAATCAATATCTGTAAATATTATTTATTATAATATTAGCCTGATTTAATGAGGTCTGATAGTTATTTAATTAATTTAGATCCAAATTAAATCATGAAATTAATAAAAACAAAGTTAGATGCAAAAGATTTTAATTTAAAATTTGAGAAAGAATAAAATGAATTTAGTGTAAGCATTCATAGAATAATTTAGTTAATAATTTCAAGTGATTTAAAAACAAATATTAAAATGGAAATATTTTAAGTTGAAACTTAAGAAAATACTTTGTGTCTGAATTTTACAAAATAGAAAGGTGATTTTTTTGACTATATTGAAACAATAAAAAGATTTCATTAATTAATTGATAACATATAATAAGAATTATCAAATGATTCATAAGGAAAAGAGAAAACAGTTTGAGATTTATTATATATGCATATAATTTATAGATTTAATTATTTTTGAGACCTATGAAATTGCTTTATGATATTTAATTATTAGGTTGGTGTGATTTTAAATTAAATTGTAAACAGCTAATATTCTTGTAACTTGAACAGCAATAATTATTTCCTCTGAGGATTCATAAAGTTCATTGATTTCAACCTACTTAACCTTATTACCTTAATATAAGCCAGTTATTCTTCTTTTTATTATTTAAAAATTAATAATAATTGCACTTATAATGAAAGCATCAAAGGCAAATGATTGGTTCTCATTATTAGTGCTTTAGAATAGTCACAAAGCTCTTCTAAAATAGTCCTATGATTAATCATGATAAGTCACTAAAAAGACATTTTCTTATGGCCTATTACAAATATTTCATTAGTTTCTTATGGTGATCATATTAATCTATATAATAATATCATTTATTTTATAAAGTTTGACTTATTATTTATTATAAAGAAAAAATTATAAAAAAGTTTAAGATCTGAGAATATTAAATAGTATTATAATATTTTATTATTTATTTTAATGGATATCTCTTTTAATGACTTGAAATTCATTTAATAAATAGGTTAGACTTTGAATTTGGAAGAAAGGTATAGATTGAAATTTCTATAGATAGAATAAAACTAAAATTGGCAATTTTAAAGATTCAAGAACATTATACATTTGATGAAGTATTATTTTGGGGAAGAGTAGAAGGTGTAGAAAAAGACTATTACATAGCAATCGGAATTTAGTATAAGGGATAATATGAGTTCCCATTGAAAAAATTCTATTGGAGGTATTCAATCAAAAGAAGAATGAATTTAGTTCCAATAATTATCACTTTGCTGAGTTACCAAAATATAATGAAGAATATGCATTGAGAGCTGAAAACTTAAGAGAGCCTTTTACAGGTTAACATGAACATATTGTTTTTAAAACAGAAGAAGAGATTAATTTTGAGGATTCTTTGGAAATCCCTGCGTAACTGCCAGCAAAACACTTTTCAGAATTAGAAAGACTATCTTTTGTTGTTTAATAGATTGAATTTTAATGTGCTTCAATACCTGTGGGATCCTACCGTTTGACACCTACTCATGAATTAATTAGAAAAACATTTAAGGGAGTGAAAGCAGAATTGAAAAATTATTAGCATTTTCGAGCTCCAATTAGGAAGGATAAATAAGATTTAATAGGTAGAATTGAATTGTATATTCAAGCTCGTGATGAAGCTTTGTATAAGGAAGATTTCTTAGATTCATTAGTTGAAGATTCTCCTAATTAATAATGGTCTTTATAAACAGATTCAACCTAAAGAAATGTAATTCTATTTATTATGAAAATCAGATAACACTAAGGAATTTAATTTGGCCAGGGTATGTCACATATAACAATGACTATACATTTGGATATGCTTATTTTGGAGATGGAATAAAGAATTCTGATTTTGAGTTTTTATTATGAGCCACAATACATTAAATATGTTATTTTGTATTTTATATTGATAAATGATTGTATAGTCAATGTCCTAGGCATTGATTGATTGCTTCGGATGCATGCAAATTTACTTATTGTGCCACATAATCATAATATGCTCTAGATCTATGGGTGTAGAAACCATACACTTATGAGCCTAGAATCATTGATCCTACAAATCTTAAATAATGCAATCAATAGTATTACCTGGGTCCAGTCCTTAAATATGTAAATCTTCTGAATACAAAGTAAGATAATATAGCAGTACCAAATCCTAATTTAAATCCAGTGCTCTCTTCCTATTATAAATCCAAAAAGGCAGTTTTAATATTTTACACATCATGAATGTCATATTGGAAATCTTTTTCAGAATTCATTATTAATATTTATATTTATTATTTTTTAATATTCATCGATTATTACCCTTATAATTGTATTTTTCTTACAAATATGTTTGAAAATACTTGGAGTCAAAAACGCAGTTCATAATAAAATCTTTATTATCAAATACTTAACTGGCAATTAATGCTTTTATAAGTTTCTTATTCCAGCCGTTATTTATAAAGAGAGGATTTGCATCTGGTACAACTTTTTTAATTAATTCAGTTTCAATCAATACAATCATTTTATATAAAAATTCCTTGCATTTTTCTGCCTGTTCTTAAGTAAAATTTAATGAAAAAATAAAATCTTTATTCTTATATCCTATAATATTAGAAGAAACATTAAAAAAGTTAAAAGTTTTGATGCAAAGACTAAATTTATTTTGATTATCTTAGATTAGTTACGATGTAACAGCAATTTAAAAATTTCTTTTCTTTTAAACTTTTATCTCTATTATCATCAATTCGTTATTTTTAAGTAGATTTTGATATTTTTAGTCATTGTAAAATCTTTAATTTATTCCTATTATCATTGGAGTTTCTGATATTAATAAATCTAATGTTTCTTAATTTGAATAATATATCACTGGATGAAGCCATATAAACGGATAAATTATTTAATGAAAGAAGTAGCAAACAGAAGTTAAGATATTTATATTTGGGCAAAAGAAAACAACTTATTTTTCGCTCAAAATCTACTGAAAGATATCAAAAAATTCTTGATAATTAAAAATCTGCAAAGCAACATGTGCATACTTAACCATATTATTTACTATTATCTAATTTTTTGCTTTTTTAAATGCTTCTGGATTATTTATGTTTATCTATTCTATAGGTAAAGAATAATTCAAATATTTTTGTGAGATCTCCAACTCTTACTATAAACAATCTTTCAAATTAAAATTTATTTTTGGTTTATCAAAATCAAGATACTCTTTCAATAATAAATTAATAGAATTTTGTAGATTTTTCTCCACTATCTAAAATTATTTGCAAATAAAATACATAATTAATATTTACAGCATCTATATCTTAAAATATTTTGAAATTATAATAAACTTCCTCTTATTATGTTATTTCCCTTCTTATTTTTCTTCCGTTTATCAATTCTTTATGTTTTCTCATTGCATCTGATCTTTATATTTACATTAAATCTAATTTATTATTGACAATTAAATACTTGTAACAAATTTTAAGAGTTAATCAAATATCTGAGGAATTGGAAAATAAGTCATAAAACAATAGTACTTTTTACATTTCCAATACTAAAATCCATCATCTTAAAAAGTAGTTATATAATCATCAACACCCTAAACAAAAACTAATAATTATCTATTGTAATTAAAAGTAGTCAATAACTCTATGTTTTTAGGAGCTTATTAATCAAATTAAGTAGAATTTAAATTAAATATAAAAGAATTTTCTTATAACACATTTTATTCTTCTAGACATCTAAATTATTAATTAATAAATACCTTTAAATCAAATTCTCAATTTCTGAATGATCATATAATCTTTCTACAACTATAAGATTATTTTCAAAATATTTTTTAATTTCTTTTGATCTATCAATCCAAAGAGTTCTCTCAATTGTTGTCAAGTCTGGTTTACATTATTTATATAATATCTTAGGTTTCAATAGAGATATGCGATTTTATTACTAAAAATCTCTAAATTGCTTATGCTTCACTCCAATTATAAAAAAAGATTCAAATAAGGATTAGTTTTGGAGAACTTTGCATCTTTTATAATCTTCATTATAGGGATTTTTGTAAGCCAAATTCAGAGCATTCAACACACCTATTCCTTTTTGTATTATTGAATTTGTCAAATTTCTTAAACTTTATTATTCTATTTAGCATGGAAGTCTTTCTATAATTTCTTTTATTTTCTTCTCGAATTTATTATCCTTATGAATGAGTAACTTTCTTATTTTCTGCATAATCAATTATTTATCTTTATCATATTATTCGATATTGTTTTATTAAATTTATATTTCTCTATCTACTTCAATTAATTTTTATTATAATTCTCTTATATCCTTTTTGAGTTTTGCATTTTCTTATTCCATTTATTATTTTTATAAATATACAAAAAATTAATGATATTTCACATATAAAGTATAATCATTTATATATATATTTATATATTTAATTAAATTTTTTCATAATTTTGCAATAAATTGATTTTTAGAGATTTCCAATTATAATTTAAAGATATATGTATTAACAAGAAAATATATAGATGACCTTATAAAATTAATATTAGAATATATGACAATTATTTGGATCAATTAATTTATAAAATTATGAATTTATTTCTTTTATACATGTTATTAAATCTAAATTTTTAGATAATGTAATAATTCAAAGTTGATTTATTTTGTTAAATTTTATTTTTTATATAATTTCAACAACAAATGTAATATTTTTAAATAAATGGTTTATTTACAAAACTAATTTTGAATTAATAGAGATAAAAATTGATATAGAAGGATTCATCATATTTAAAGGTTTATAAAATACCTATATGATTAATATTTATTTAATTTGGAATTCTTGAGAATAATCCAGGGTATTTATATCATCCTAAAAGCAAGAAATGAACAATATAATTACTTTAGAAAGGAATAAACCTCTTAAATATCCTTCAAATGATGTTTCAATGAATTGGCCCTCATTTTAGTCTTGTAATGTCAGTCAATATCGATTGCATTTAGGAACAGATAGAGTACTTTAACATTCAATAGGAAAATACAGTGATACTGAGAGTGAAAGGAATGAAATTCCTGAAAACCTTGTCAAATTATCTGAATTGCAATAAAATTCTTAATAAAATGATAGAAACTAATAGCTCTTAAAAAATGAAAATTTTTGGATAGCAAAATTTATTGTTTCTGATTTAACAAAATCAATTTTACTAATCCTATCATTTATTTTACCATTTCTTTATATTGAAGAGTCTAAGTAAGATGATTTTTAATAATAAAGATTTAAATCAACACAATTAAAAATAACAATTACTATTTTGATGTTATCTTTAGAAATGGTCTCAATATTTCTAAAATTGTATTCTTAGATTTTAAAACATCAGGTGATGTAACTAACTTTTGTATAGATTATGAATCTGATAGTATACACAATCTGTTCTATCTTGGAAGACTAATTAACGTATGGAATCTTGTCAATCTACTTGTTTGTTGGAAATTTTTAAACACTTGGAAAATTTTGTAAATTACTTACATTCTTAAATTATGAGTATATTATTGTATTTATTTGTCATAGATAGTAAAAATATTTCAAAATTCTAAGTTGTATCTATTTTTCACTTCATCTTTTTGGTTGTATGTGGAGAGTGGAATATGAAGAAAAGAATTAAGAAATAATTTCATATTAAGATGGTATATATCAATCATTTTTAATATCCTTATTGAAAATAGAAGAAATTGAAATTGAGAATAAATAATTAATAATTTTGAATGTTACATTTAACGCTGGGATGATATTATACATATTAAAGTGTCTATTAATGAGTTCTATTGAAAAATCTAAACGTCAATTATTATTAGACTCATTTCGACTCTATCTATAATCTTAGTTGATAAATTTCAAAAGCAAGTTGATTATAATTCATTATTCATAAATTTTTGAAGTTTTGGAGGAAGATCAAACGCTTTAGTAGGAATAAAGAATTAATAAGGTTTCAAATTATTTGAAATAGAAATTGATCTAATAAGAGTTATCAAAAGTTAAATTTCTATCTGTTAGCACTTTAGAATTAATAAGTCAGAATGGAAATTTTATTTAAAGTCAACCTTTAAATGTATTTATGATTTAAATTATAAAGAAATTAAGTACTTAAATTGATGGTTTATATATCATTTTAACTGGAAACACTTATGTGGATTTTATGGGATTTCAAATTAAATTATAAAGTCAAAAAGTACTAGAATTGAGTTTGACTGAAGTTATCAATAATTAATGGTAAGGGAGAGTGAAAATAGAGCAAACAGATTCTAAAGAAGTTTTATATTTTTTTATATAAAAATAAATTCTAATTAGTATATTATAGTAATCAAAAGAAAGGGTATAATTACAATATTAAATTAGGAAGTGTATTAGATGATAAAAGATGATATAGTATTCTATAATGATACTACAAAATTGAATTTTAGATGTTACTTTTGTGAGTAATTTCATCCTAGTTTTAATTGTTCATCTTTTAATATTAAGAGAAGATTCAATTATGATTAAATTTATCAGGAAAGAGATGCTAGATATTCAAGAAAAGTAACTAAAAAGTCAAGATCTGCTATATTTTAATAGGTAATATTATGAAATATAAATTAGATTACATATTAAGGCACTAGTAATCATAATGTATTTGAATAGAGTTCTGATAGTTTTGAAGCTTTTTCAGATAACTCTAGTGAACATATTAGCAGTGTAAATATTGGAGTGGATTAAATTACTAAGCTTCCATCTACAAAATATATATATAAGGAGATTTTATAGGCTGATATTATATCGGATAAGTTGACTGAACCTATAATTAGCAGCACATTTTTAAGAAATCTAACCACTAGTCCAGATAATATAATAAAACGTTCTATAATTAATAATACTCCATAATAATAAGCATGTTTTTAGGATCTAGATTCATTATTTGAGATTGATAAAATGGTAGAGTTTCAAGATTATAAAACAAAATTCAATATAACAAATATCATATAAATTCTCAATAAGAAAAGAAATTGATATATTAAATATATATTATGACTTTTTAATTACCTCATAATTTCTAAAACAGATCAGTTCAAAAAATAGTATAGGAATTAATGTATGATGAGTATTTGGATAGAGACAATTTACTTAGGAATGCATTTATCTCATCACCTTTGAAGAGTGGCAAGAAAAAGATATCCATATCAAAACATAGATATAATCACTTTTTATAATAATCACCAAGTCAATTATATTCTCCAGGACTATTAAACAATTAAAATAAAGTAGTTGGAATTATTGCAATGCAAAAAAAAAAGAATTCAGTCCCTCTAAATGTATCAGTAAACCAATTAATTGAAAATAATACTAGTCCTACTAATAATGCCATTGTTAGAGTAAGCAAAAGAAATAAGGATTACAAACCTAAAGAACTTAGAGGTTTATCAATTTCAGATCATGTTTCAAGATAAAAATTTGTATTCCCATAAGTTTAGAGATTAAGTTAAGTAAAATAATAATAGTTTGCATCTCCAAACTTTAATTTTATTGATGAGAATTTTGAAGGATATAAATTAAAATCTGAAGAAATGTCATTAGAAATTGATGAATATATGAGAATGCAAAAACATAATAATAATAATCTAAATTTATTACCAAATATTTATTCAAGAAATTAATGAATTATTTAATACTTTTATTACTCACAAATATTAAACTAAAATTTTTAGTGATCTAATCATAAAAGCTTTATTAATCAATTATTTACATATTAATATATATAAATTGAAATTTAATTTTAAAATACAAATTTATTGATGTCAAGAAAAAGAAGAGGAATGTATTTTATAGAACAAATACTTGATTATAAATAATACAACGGCTAGAAATATTATCTTGTAAAATGGCAAGGCTATAATAACAAAGATTGCACTTGGGAAAAACCAGAAAAGATACCAAATTTAGCTTAATTTTTGCACTAATTTGAAGAAAATCTAAAATAACATGGATCTAATTTTTATCATATTGATAATGATGAACCACCTTAATTAGAAGATTTTATAGGAGTACCAAGTCAATCCAAATAGAATTAGTATCAATAATAATAAGAACAAATATAAATATTACAAAATTAGGTAGATCTATTAAAATCAGAAATAGAGCAAATGAAGAAATAACAAAATGAAATAGTCTAAATAATGACTGCATCTTAATAAAATGAAAAGTCCTTTTAACCAAATTAATAACAGGATTCTGAAATCATTTAGGAATCTACATCAGAATAATCCCAGAAAAACACTGAAATTAAATTACAATGTGAAGGTGGATTTGAGTTTGGAGATTAATTAGATAAGATAGGTTAAGCTGTACAAGTCAAGGGTAAAGGCCAAAAAATGTATTATCTATTGTGGCAAAAGCGACCCAATGGTAATCCTTTTAATCTAATTCTATATTAGGTATCATACCCAAAAATAGATGGGTTAATAGTGAATATATTATGAAGTATGATATAAACGCATTGTGTTACTATCTTCAAAAAAAGTTATGATAAATTTATATAATAATATTTCATTTTTTATAAATAAATTTCCATAAATATAGCCTAAAATTCAATTGAAATTATGTGGTTTCTGATGATTATTATAATTACTCTTATAGATAAAACATATTGGATCCTATCTAATCTTTCCAATTTATAAGCACAAATAGAATTAATGAACATTTAAGATCAATAATAAAGAAAAATGACTGGAGCTTTTATTAATAAGTAGTATTGATTTATAGAAACATAAATTAAAATATTAGTGATTCATTCACCAATGTTTGTTACAAGTGGAATACCTCAAAAATAATTATAATTCTTAAAGGAATACGAAAATCTATAGAATAAGACAATATAAATTCACTTAATTTGAACTATTTTACCAAAAGATCTTAATTTGTTCCTAGTCCTATTTATTATAGATGATATGAGAAAAAGGATAATCACTTTGAAAATTTAACATTAGAGTATATAAATTTAAGAAGTTTATAAAATTATCAAAAAAAGTGGCTTCTAAGAAATTAAATTCTAATATTAAATTTATTAAATAAGGAATATAAATAATAGTAAATAATATAAATATCGTTGTCGGCCATACTAAGCCTAAAGCACCGGATCCCATTCGAACTCCGAAGTTAAGCGGCTTAAGGCGAGGTTAGTACTAAGGTGGGGGACCGCTTGGGAAGTCCTCGTGTTGACAACCCTTTTTTTTATTATTATTATTATTATTATTATTATTATTATTAATAAATATCATATCACTATTCGAAATTAGTTTTAGATTAATTCATATCTTTAAAAGATTTATGTAAATTTATTATAAAGCAATATTTTTCTATTTTTTTAAATTAACTTAAAAAAAATACTTAATAAGTTTGTAAATTGATTAATTTATTATGTTAATTATCACATTTCTAATAATCTCAATATGTTTTGCAACTATAACATATGATAGTAACTATTTTTTAGAGTGGAATTATGATATTGTACCAAGTTTTACATGTTGGGGAGGGAGAAGTTTTGATAAAACAATATCATTTTCAGACTCATTTGCAAATATTCCCAAAGTGTTCATCACTTATGAAATGATAGATCTACATTGGAGTTAAGATTATAACACTGTAGGTTTCAATTTTAGTATTACAGATATTACATTAACAAGTAAATAACTTATTTTTTATATTAGACTTTGCGATGCATATGTATTGTTAATATGAGAGAAACTATCGATTCAGAATAAGGTGGTTTGCTATTGATGATTAAAGAATAGATGTTATTAGTCAATTTAACCTTATTCCGCCTTAGAACTGCAGTTTTTATTATGCTAATATTAATGTTGAGAAACACTTCATTACAATTACAAGTTTTAGTGCTACAGGACCAACAGATATTTAATTATTTGTATATTCTTATTCAAATATAGGCTTATTTTACACCTCCAAATATAGTTACATTATATATTCCTTATATGATAGGATAATCAGAAAATTTGAAATCTATTGGATTTTAATTGATTTTAGGAATTGATGAAGCATTCACTAAATCTTAAGCTATTTTAACAGTTTCAAACTATGATTCTTTAGTATATGATCCAATTCAAACAAACCAGGTGGAGTTATATCCATTTTCAGGATTGGCTTATTTGGATGAACATTTATTTCAATTAGTGGTAGTCATCAATGATAATGGTGTTGGTACAAAATATATAATACGTGATTGTATAATAATAAAAATATAGATTTTAAGGGGGAGCGGGTTATACTGCTAATTATCACTAAAAAGTCCGAATGCCAAAATCCTAAACCAAATTGTTTTAACCAATACTTTGCAATTTTATCAGATTTTCTTAGAAACTTGAATATAGAGGTTTACCTCGTCCTTTGTTTTCAATAGAATTCACTGTTGATTCATAAGTTTATACGTCAAGTGGATAAATTCTCATAAGCAAATCTATATAAAANTTATTATTATTAATAAATATCATATCACTATTCGAAATTAGTTTTAGATTAATTCATATCTTTAAAAGATTTATGTAAATTTATTATAAAGCAATATTTTTCTATTTTTTTAAATTAACTTAAAAAAAATACTTAATAAGTTTGTAAATTGATTAATTTATTATGTTAATTATCACATTTCTAATAATCTCAATATGTTTTGCAACTATAACATATGATAGTAACTATTTTTTAGAGTGGAATTATGATATTGTACCAAGTTTTACATGTTGGGGAGGGAGAAGTTTTGATAAAACAATATCATTTTCAGACTCATTTGCAAATATTCCCAAAGTGTTCATCACTTATGAAATGATAGATCTACATTGGAGTTAAGATTATAACACTGTAGGTTTCAATTTTAGTATTACAGATATTACATTAACAAGTAAATAACTTATTTTTTATATTAGACTTTGCGATGCATATGTATTGTTAATATGAGAGAAACTATCGATTCAGAATAAGGTGGTTTGCTATTGATGATTAAAGAATAGATGTTATTAGTCAATTTAACCTTATTCCGCCTTAGAACTGCAGTTTTTATTATGCTAATATTAATGTTGAGAAACACTTCATTACAATTACAAGTTTTAGTGCTACAGGACCAACAGATATTTAATTATTTGTATATTCTTATTCAAATATAGGCTTATTTTACACCTCCAAATATAGTTACATTATATATTCCTTATATGATAGGATAATCAGAAAATTTGAAATCTATTGGATTTTAATTGATTTTAGGAATTGATGAAGCATTCACTAAATCTTAAGCTATTTTAACAGTTTCAAACTATGATTCTTTAGTATATGATCCAATTCAAACAAACCAGGTGGAGTTATATCCATTTTCAGGATTGGCTTATTTGGATGAACATTTATTTCAATTAGTGGTAGTCATCAATGATAATGGTGTTGGTACAAAATATATAATACGTGATTGTATAATAATAAAAATATAGATTTTAAGGGGGAGCGGGTTATACTGCTAATTATCACTAAAAAGTCCGAATGCCAAAATCCTAAACCAAATTGTTTTAACCAATACTTTGCAATTTTATCAGATTTTCTTAGAAACTTGAATATAGAGGTTTACCTCGTCCTTTGTTTTCAATAGAATTCACTGTTGATTCATAAGTTTATACGTCAAGTGGATAAATTCTCATAAGCAAATCTATATAAAACATAGAATTGAATATAAATTGTAATTGTATCAATGGTAAAAAAATAAAAAGTAAATTTTTTAAATGTGAAAATTGCCCTTTAAACAAAAATAGTCATTAATTTCAACATTCTTGTTATGGTGCAATTAATTTATTATTTATTAATGCAAGATTTATTACATAAACAAATGCTATTTAATAATTATAAATTGATATCACTCCTCAAAGTTGTAAAATTACATAATTAATTTTCAATTAACAAATATAAACTTTTGTAATTGTAGATATATAAATGATTGATAATTGAGAATAAATGAATGATTTAAATGATAATATATATTTCCTATTTTCAAAAGACATTATTTTCTAGATATTTATATAGCAAAAATAAATCAAAAATATCAATAGTATTAAAACCATAGTCTTATCTATATCAATGTTTAATAAATGTTGCAATTCTTTTTGGAAAATATTAGGAATCTATATTATTATTAAAGATATTATTTTAAATAAATAAAGTGAGTTGCTTGTTACAAAAACCATTTTTATAAATTAAATTCTAATATTAAATTTATTAAATAAGGAATATAAATAATAGTAAAGAATATAAATATCGTTGTCGGCCATACTAAGCCTAAAGCACCGGATCCCATTCGAACTCCGAAGTTAAGCGGCTTAAGGCGAGGTTAGTACTAAGGTGGGGGACCGCTTGGGAAGTCCTCGTGTTGACAACCCTTTTTTTTATTATTATTAGATTCTTTATTACAACATATACTTAATCTTAGATGAATATATTAAATTGATTTACAAATATTAATTTATGTAAAAATCATTATTAAAAGGGTTACATTAAAGTATTATAAATAATAATTTTAATAAAAATATTAGGAAAATTGAATTCAAGCCTTAAATCAATAATTTAATTTCAATAATAAATAATCATTTTGATAAATAGAGAATCTATTACTATTCTTTTTAATCATCTCTTCCAAGTATTCATGTCTTGGTAAATCTTTAATCCTCATTAATATATCTCTGTCATCAAGTTATGAAAGGAGATCATATTCAAAATCATCAATGTCATTTAAATTCTATAATGAAAATCTTGAGTAATTCATTATAATATCATCTGCTAATTTTTATTAATCACTTCGACCATCATAAGGTAAACAGTGTTGTAAAATTTATTAAATATCTTCTTAATCAGCAACAAAATTATTTTAATAATCTTTGATTTTAGTAAAAATACAAATTTAGGAAGCATAGCCATTTGAAAGATCACCAGATTTGTGTTGACCCACTCCTTCATAGATAGTTGAATAATGATATTTTTAAGCAACAGTAGTAGTCCATTCTAAGAATTCTTGTTAAGAGAATTCAAATTTATGATCTGGATGTCTTAATACAAACTTAGGATTAAGTTATTTAAAATAGACATTGAAATCAGAATTTGGAGTTGTAATTATGATTCTTTAAGGATTTAAATATCCAAATACATTTTCACATAAATCATCTAATTATTCTAATTGTAAATGTTCTACTACTTCTATTAATGTGATTAACTATGAATAAGATAGAAATAATTACTTCAAAATTCATTTATTTTAATTGTTTATATTTCTTTAAAGCATTTCCATGAAACAATTTAATCCAACATTCTGTTTTTCTATTTGACCTTAAACAATCTTAAATTTAATCATAAACTATGTTATCACTTAAAATAGAATTGAAATATACCTAGCTTCTTTAAGAACTTCAAGATCAATGTCCAATCCAGCAATGAAATTGAAATCTAAAGAATGAGCTAATCTTTAAATAAATTTGCCATCATTGCATCCAATATCTAATGTCCGTTCCTTTTCTATATATTTATCTAACTGTTAATGCCTTCTTTCCCATAGTCTCATTCCCATATTGTCATAAAAAATATCATTTTCATAAGCTTTAATTTCCATTACTCCACTATTTAGTTAAGTTTATTTTAATAATAATTCCNCTTTATTACAACATATACTTAATCTTAGATGAATATATTAAATTGATTTACAAATATTAATTTATGTAAAAATCATTATTAAAAGGGTTACATTAAAGTATTATAAATAATAATTTTAATAAAAATATTAGGAAAATTGAATTCAAGCCTTAAATCAATAATTTAATTTCAATAATAAATAATCATTTTGATAAATAGAGAATCTATTACTATTCTTTTTAATCATCTCTTCCAAGTATTCATGTCTTGGTAAATCTTTAATCCTCATTAATATATCTCTGTCATCAAGTTATGAAAGGAGATCATATTCAAAATCATCAATGTCATTTAAATTCTATAATGAAAATCTTGAGTAATTCATTATAATATCATCTGCTAATTTTTATTAATCACTTCGACCATCATAAGGTAAACAGTGTTGTAAAATTTATTAAATATCTTCTTAATCAGCAACAAAATTATTTTAATAATCTTTGATTTTAGTAAAAATACAAATTTAGGAAGCATAGCCATTTGAAAGATCACCAGATTTGTGTTGACCCACTCCTTCATAGATAGTTGAATAATGATATTTTTAAGCAACAGTAGTAGTCCATTCTAAGAATTCTTGTTAAGAGAATTCAAATTTATGATCTGGATGTCTTAATACAAACTTAGGATTAAGTTATTTAAAATAGACATTGAAATCAGAATTTGGAGTTGTAATTATGATTCTTTAAGGATTTAAATATCCAAATACATTTTCACATAAATCATCTAATTATTCTAATTGTAAATGTTCTACTACTTCTATTAATGTGATTAACTATGAATAAGATAGAAATAATTACTTCAAAATTCATTTATTTTAATTGTTTATATTTCTTTAAAGCATTTCCATGAAACAATTTAATCCAACATTCTGTTTTTCTATTTGACCTTAAACAATCTTAAATTTAATCATAAACTATGTTATCACTTAAAATAGAATTGAAATATACCTAGCTTCTTTAAGAACTTCAAGATCAATGTCCAATCCAGCAATGAAATTGAAATCTAAAGAATGAGCTAATCTTTAAATAAATTTGCCATCATTGCATCCAATATCTAATGTCCGTTCCTTTTCTATATATTTATCTAACTGTTAATGCCTTCTTTCCCATAGTCTCATTCCCATATTGTCATAAAAAATATCATTTTCATAAGCTTTAATTTCCATTACTCCACTATTTAGTTAAGTTTATTTTAATAATAATTCCTGTAATTTATTATCTATAAATTTATAAATAAATTATTAAATTGAAAAAACAATACTCAATAAGTTGGAATCAAATTTATCATTGTAATAATAAGGACTAAAATAACAATATTTATATTTCTTATTATAGTAATAAAATGCTAACAAATGTTTATATTAATCAATCAAAAGGCATTAATACTCCATAATATGCAGCCAATGTTCCACTCAATACTTAATCCTTATGTAAATTAAACTATTTAATGATATTATAGATATACTCTTCCTTTTTGAATTTATTTTAAGACATTTAGTAATAAAAATGTGTATGGCAATAAGATTACTAAACAAATTAGTGTTTTAAAATCAATAATAGCAAAAGGTAAGACACACAAGAATTCACAAACAAAAACCTCTATCAAATTTAAATTGTAAAAATTACTATAAAATCTGAATTTCTTAGTTTCTATTAAAATATACATTAATAAAATTATGGTAACAATTAAATTAGCAAATAATGGAAGAAACATAAATACTCCAGCAATAAAAGTACCTAAAATTTATTGAGATAATTATTTACTGGGTACATCACTACCAGGAGTGGTAGAAAAATAAGCTATGAGAAAAAAAAACGTTAATGTATATGCAATGATAGATCCAAAATATAGTACAAGTGTCAATCCTGCCTAATTTATATATTATGATTATTTACATATCTAAATTTTTCCATTGAACCTATTTTTACCAATAAAATTAAAACAATAACACACACAGTTATCCATAAAGGATACTCATTTTTATGTTTATATAATTTTCTTTCGAAAATCACCATCATTATAAAAAAGAGTAAAGCGAATAAAAATGACCAAATTACAAACATTCCCAAAATACTGCTAAAAAAAAACTTTTAAGTTAAGAAATCTGCATCTTTCAATAATAAAGAATTAGTTGGTTAAGGTGGTTAATCAAGTTAGTAATAGTTTTGATACTTATTAACTTATTCTGAATATGGATGTACTACTTATTAATAATTTTGTGAGTTTTAAGTCTGTTATTATACAATTGGTAAATATCTAATATCCTCTGTAGTATTCTAAAATAATTAATGCTATAGATTGTCCTATTAATTTGAAGATTGAATATCAAATTATGGATATTTAACTTATTACATTATTTTTCAAAGAAAATATACAAATTCATAGTTAACAATTTTTTGATCATAATTAACACAATGTAGAATGTTTTCTATACAGATTTCTTATTATTTTTATATATATTTGAGAAATATAATTAAATTAAATCATGCTTTGCCTTAAGTAAAAATTTTGACAAATTCTTCAAAGCTAAACTTAGACATCTTTGTTTCTTTAATAAATAAGAATGTATCATAACCACACGATTATCCCTCCATCATTAGATATGGATAAGCTAAGAGTAAGTTAGCTTTGGATATCAATTATTTGTTTGGTAGAGGTTCACGATTGAGTAAACATTTAAAAATTGTTAAAAAGTTAATAGTTTATCTTCTTGTAATTTTGTAATCCATTTAAATTTTATCTATATTTACATTTTTCATAAAATATCTATCTTTTAAATTTGTTTTTAATTGAAATGGATTGTTAACTTATGAAATTTCAATATTTTGAGTTGAAGGTATGAATATATTAGAACATACTACTTGTTCTTAAATTTATTATTATAAATCTTCAGGATTGATGATATTTTCTTATAATATTTATTTTTCAATTGATTATCTTGTTCTAGTTTTAATAGGTAATCTAATTAATTTATTTGATTTTTATGAATAAATTGATTTGCTATTCATTTCTTTATTCAATTATTCAAAGATCTGCACTTTAGTTTTCTACTTTTCAGTGTCCAACATAGCAAATGCAGTATCAATTTCATGATCATCCAAATCAATTTTTGGTTATATGTTTTATATGTAAGGTAATTTATTAATTTACATGGTAAAATATTATTTTATTATGCTATTGTTACTAAAAAAATAATCAAAGATTTGAGAAGAATTTTATAATTTTTAGATATCATTATAAAGTTATTCTATTAAGTTCATTTAAAAGGAACCATTAAATTAATTATAATGAGTTATCATATTCCAGAAATCAAAACTGTTATTTATATAAAATACTTTCTAATTTGGCAAGTGAAAATTTTTAATCTAAGTACCATCTAAAATCCAAATTTTTGGAGTAGATTTTAAACTTAAAAGAGTTTTTAGATGCATACATTATTCAATAAAATCAGAAATGAGCTCACTTTCATTGTCAATTTTTTAATACAGTGGAATGTAATACTTAAATACTTTGAAATTGTTAATAATAAAAACTTCTTAAAAACCTTATTTCTTATTAATTCCCGTATCAATTATTTTATGTCTAACATATTTAATCAATCTCTCTGATTTCCATTAGTCTTAATAGGATAATTAATGAAAATAATTTTATTTATTTGATTCTGTTACTTATCTTCTTGGTGTATGAAATAGAGTAGGTGAATTTCCAATACTATTTTATTCAACTTAGAATGATGTAGCAATTTTTAAACGAGGAACACTATTAAATCTTTTATTCATTAATAAAATAATTAATATATATATATTATATTGATAAAAAGAGAGAATTAATATTAGAAACCAATAAATGTAGTAAATATTATAATTTCTATTATATATTATTATTGTAAAAAAAAGTATTTCATAAAAGAATATTATTTATATCATTATAATATAGATCATATTTAATCAATGTTAGTCTTGTTAAAGAATAGATTTTCTTTTAGAATTGTCTTCAACGATTTATTTGACTTGACTCTTCTTTCTTAGTTAATCTCTTTTAACAAATTCATCTACTTTACGAAATTATACCCAAGCTTTACCTTCCATTAAATTATCCAACTAAATCTTTAAATGATTGAATGTACCTCTTCAAAAATTTCTTTATCAGAATATCCACTCTTTTTGACTATTTCCCAGAAGGCCATCCATTCATCTTCTGTAATCTAACCACTTTTATCAAAATCAACTGCATTAAATAATGCTTGAGTATTCACTTTTGCAAAATTAGTTTTCCAAAACTTTTAAGTTTCATCCTTATCAATAGAACCAGAATTATTGACATCAATTTTTTTGAAAATCTCTAAAGCTTTTTATCTTAATTAAGGTGATAAACCTTATGATTATTTTTGAGCTCCACAACCCATTATATATATATAATTAATTAAGTAATGGAATTCCTTGCAATTCTTACCCTAATATTCTTAATAATAGGTGCATCATTGTACTTATTAGTATGTGTTGATCCTAACTCCCCAGGATTGTTAGGGATAATGAATAGATTTGTATTCAACACTATTCCAACAATAATCAAGTAAATAATATACATAATACCTAGAAAAATATTGGGAGAACGTATATTCACAATATTCTAAAGAGCAGTAGATTATTTCTTCTATTCAAATCATCCATTAGTATAAATATTCTATGTTTTGGTTGCAGTGGGAGGATATTTGGTATATCTGTATTTTGGATTTCTTGAATTATTTGGTAATAATCCTTTTGTGTCCCATTTGGATACATCAATTGGATCAACAATGGCACTCTTTTGTTTCTATTCTTTTTTTTAAGCATGTCGATATAAACCAGGAATAATTACTAAAGAGAATAATAAAGAATATGTAAATGAATTTAAAGAATACTATGATAATGTAGTATATTTGAAAGAAAATCAATGCAAAACATGTAATATCATAAAGCCAGCAAGAAGTAAACATTGTAGAGTATGCAATGTATGTGTAAGTAGATTTGATCATCATTGTGTATGGATTAGATAATGTGTTGGATAAAAGAATTATAAATACTTTGTCAAATTCATCATAACTCATGCTATTCTATGTGATTATGGAGCTTATTTAGGTTTTCGTTGTATTTGGGGAATTATTGTTAAAGAGAAACTCTTAGAAGCATAATTCAGGTAATTTATTCTTTTTCAATATAGAGATCCTGTGACAAAGTAGAGATTGTAAGCTACTTGGGGGATTATAGTAAAGTATTTGTTCTACAAAAACACTATGTATATTTTCATTGTCATTCTATGCATTGTTATGGGTATTGCATTAACATGTTTTGCTCTTTATCATCTTTATATGATTGGATAAAATACTACTACAAATGAAAGAATGAAGAGAAGTGATTTTTTGAATTTCTTTGATGAAGAAACTGAAAGATTAGAAAAACAATTAAAAGATGCACAAACTCCAGAAGATATTAAATAGGTGACATCGAAATTAGAATAAGTTAAATAATGTTAAAATAGGATAATTCCAGCTAAATCTATAGGAATATGGTAGGGATTGAAAAGAGTGTTTAATGAACCAGATGAATTGGATTAAACGATTAAAATAAAAAATAGAAAAAAATAATGAATTAATAATATGTGTGTTCTAAGCATTCAAATATAAATATTATATAGAGTTCTCATTGATTATAAACAATAAAGTTGAAATTATTAATAATGAATATATATATTAAGATATTTTATACTTAATTTTCAAAATTAAAAAGATCAATTAAATTAAATTATATTTTGTTGCAATCAATATTATAGAATATATATTCAAGAGAATTGTACTCTAAAATAGAAATACCTAAATAATAAAAAAAAACTACTCAATAATAGAATTAAAAATCTGACGATATCAAAAAAATTAACAATATATTCTATTTATAATAAAGAATTTCAAAAAGCTTATTCTAATTAAACAATTTCAACCCAAAATAAATACATTAAAGTTAAAATAAACAATCTAATAATAAATTCATTATTTAATTTTAAGTAATATTTAATAAATTGACAAATACTTAACACTATCATCTATCAAAAAAAATTTATCTGATAAACCATATTAATTTTAATTTGTATTACTATTTGGTAAATAAATCATATGAAATAAAAATTAATAAATAATAAGACTAAATTAGAGTACTTATTGTATATCAGATTGATATAGAAATCATCTTATCTATAATCAGGTTATGATATTTAAATATTTGAAGAATATTAATTTTTAGAGTAATCATGAGACAATTAATTTAAATAATTTGATAGTATTTATTATTTTCATTCTAGATGGTTAATATATAATAAAATTAATTTAATCAATTATTTATTGTTATTTAAATTAAATTATAATTTATGGGTTGTTCTATGGTTTTTATTTAAAAGACTTCTTTTGATTCAAATTCATCATTTTCATATGATGATATATAAGAGAGTGAAGTATCTTTAGATTAAATTCATGATGGAATAGCATTTTTAAAAATAAATGTAAAAAAATAAAAAGAGATTTTTCCTGAAGACAATAACACTGAAGTAAAACATTTAGTTAAATGCAATCATAATACAGTAATATAAATCAATAAATCTGATATTAAATCTAAGAAATCTTGTTTAAAATAAAAATTAATAACGTCACAACTTTCATAAAATGTGAGTCCTAAGAAAGTTCATTTTGTTTAAATTTAATAAAAAAATACAAATTAGTATAAGGGTAGACAAAAGAGAAGTAAGTAGAAACATTCAAGAAAGTCTAAAGAAAGATAAGAGCATATTAACTTGGATGATATATTTTGATTTTAATTATTGTTATATTTATATACTTAGTACATTTATTAAATATATACATTTCATAACAATTAGTAAAGTTTATCAATTTGAACTTCGAATGAGTTATCTTCATTAAGTAATGAGGGTAATACATGATTTTTTTATTCTTAATCTATTAAGTTTGTAATTGTTACAACTTATATTCTTTCTTCATCTATTTTTGATATTTCAACATAGGAAACCTTTTTACCTAAGATATTTAATAAATGAATACATAATAATTCATTTTTCTTTAAATATGACATATATTCTTTTGAACAATCTTTTACAAAATCAACTGTAAAAGATATTTTGATTTCACTTTTTTCTTTAATAGAAAACTTACTAAAAAATACAAATGTTTAGAATGAAGATTTTATACTCCAAATTGAAGTCTCTAATGCTATAAAATTATTATCATCTATTGTCTCAAAAATTTCAAATTTCTTAAATGAATTTCTCCATTATTTCTATTCAGTAAATAATTTATAAACTTTTTCTATTGAATTACATTTCAGTATATAAGAATTCTTTATAATCTATCCTTACAAATGAAGTAAACTACAATTTCTATACTCTAAATCAAATAGTTATTATCATTTACATTTCACTAATTTCCAATCATAATTTAAATTCAATATTTTTATTAAAAATTCTGAAGTATTATCATCTTCTATAAGTATCATATCTTTTGAAGAGAATTTCCTTATTGTTTCTTATGTAGTTGCTGGAGTGATACTTTCATCAGAAGAATCCAATGTTTTAGTACTATCTAGTGTTTACTTTTAAGATTTGAAGTTTTAATAAATTCCCAATACTTCTTCATCTTCAATTAAAAATTTAATGATTTTTTAATCTAATAAAGGATTTCCTTCCAAATAACGATAAAGTAAGAGTAGAGCATTTTTATAACATTTGTTCTATTGGTTACCTTTGATATGATTTTAGAGTTTCATTTATTTAATTTATTTCATATTCAATTCACAAAAAGCTTTTAAAGTGACTTCAGCAACTTCAATTAGATATTTATTATATTACATGGATTGTACTCGAATTCTAACAATTTACTTAAGAAAGAAAGTACACAATTACATTGTATATGAGAATCTGAATCATTTAAAACCATTTGAGTCAAACCATATATTTCTTTATCTTTGTCTCCTATAAATAAGTATTGTATGATATTGTATGACAAATATTATAGTTTTCCATACAAATAATTTTCAAGTTAGCTAATGTAATAGAATTAAATGGGGATACAGTATAATTTTAACTCTGTCTTCTTTTCGACTATTAAGTTTATGTAAATAACAAATAACTGCTTTTTCAATATCATTTTATGGTTAATGTTTCTACAATTCAGGTTCTAATAAAGAATCCAAATTAAATTGATCACTACTTAGACCATGTAATTTAATATTATCAAAACCTCTTCTCATAAATTGTTGTTATATTTCAATGAACTATAAAAATTCAATTGGTTTTAATTGATCTAAGGAAGATAGTATAGTTTATAAAAATTCTTAAATTTTAGTCATTGTTTTTACTTTGTAATAATTTTCTTCTTTCTTGAACAACTTCACTTTTGTTGGATTTAAACAATTTTTTCTAAGGAAATTCGCAAAATTCGAATTTGGGTTTTAACTAAAATAGATAAATTTGATACTTATTCATAGAGCTAAAGAAATTACTTGTACCTTCTTTGAATTTAGTAGTCGAAGTAGTCTGTGGTAATTTTGATAACATAATGGACTATATGTTTTTTATGGAGAGAGAAATTGTCTTTTTCTTTAGAGATGGAAATTATTTCAATATTCTTTATCACTTGATGGGTAAAAATCAACTGAGTTACACTCTTTTCAATTTTATAATAATAAATTTTTACCTCATCCTAGAGTTGAACTGAATGAACTCTCTTCAATTATAGAGGAGAAGCCTTCTATTAAGGATATTGATCTTAAAATGAATATTATCGTTTAGGCAGCATAATAATTAGTTTAGAATTACAATTAATATCTAAAAATATTCAATCTAATTGGTATTATATATACTACTATTAAATGATTATATAATAATATGAAATTTAATTTATGCATATTATTATAAAATAACCATTCAATTTGTAGATTTGATTAGTCTTAACTATGTATTTAGACTTAATATGATTCTTAAATCACTTTGATTAAATTCATTTGACTCTAAGTATAACGGTATGATTAATTTTAATTACAAATTGTGATGTTGCATTTCAATATATTTTAATAATAAATTGATGTTTTTTGCCTAATAAGATATACTTAAATGTTTTAAGTGTAATTCGTCATCTTGCTCTATTTAAAACATAAATCAATCTTCTAATTTATGTAATATTTAAAAAAAAAAAAATGCTAACAACTGAGGTTAGTGCTACTTCTAACCAGAAACAAATAAAAGATCCATAAGAACTTGTTTTTGAGGTTTGTTTTTTATATAATTATTTATCAAAGTTTACTCATCAATGGACAGACCATGATGAAGAACAACTCAAACAATTGTACCTTATACACTAAGGCAATTGGAAATCTATAAGCTTACAATTGAATGGGCCAAGTCCCTAAGAATGCATGATGAAATGGCAAAGACTACATCCTAATCAAGTATATTGGATAACTTAATTTAAGACTTTTACAAGACAATTATGGTCACAAGAAGAAGACGAATAATTACAGGAGCTTGTTTAAAAGTATGGAAAAAAATGGAGTAAGATATGCACAGTGATGAATTGGAGAACTGGAAAACAAGTAAGAGAACGGTATCTAAACCAATTACAAGGCCATATTAATAGTGAGAAATGGACAGAATAGGAAGACAGAATGATTTTAAAATTGTACAAAAAGTATGGGACGAAATGGAGTTACATATCTAGTTTCCTTAATGGCAGACCTGTATAAATGACTAGTTATTATTTTAACATAGGAAAATATGGTAAAAAATCGATTTTATGCTAATTTGAAAAGACGATTCCAATCTGATCTAGAAATTTCTGAAGATGACCAATGTTAAGACTCATAAGATTCTTTGAATATAACCAAATATAAGAAGAAGAAAAAGCTTAAACCATATAGATTCATAAGTGATTCTATTTAGATTAAGAAATCTTAACTCTAAAATGTTAGATCTGAAATTTTCAAAAGAATTACTAGGTCCAAGAATAAAGATCACTTATAAGATTAAATTAAAGAAGAAGAAAATATTTATGATTCTATTAATTAAAACTAAGAGCCTATTAATGCTATTCAAAATTAAGAAGTTATTCATAAATAGGAACATGATAATTAATAGATTTTATAATAAAAAGTAAATGTAAAAGAAGAAATGGTATCTAATAATAATTAAATATCATATAATCCTCTTATGTTATTCGAATATTAATAAACATTTTAAGCTCTATAATAAGTTGATTAAAGAACAATAGAGCTTGGATTAAATTAATAATAATAATTATTATTAAATTGTTATCCAAAACAAAATGACACTCAATTCAATTTCTAATTGTGTTAGAAATGTAGTAAATGTGAGAATACAATTGATTAAAACCAATTGTATTCTTTTTAAGATATTAATCAATTATTCAAATTGTTTTAGTATCATTTGTTTATGCAAAATCAACCTTTACTAAATTACAAAAGTGAAGTTGATATGTCATAAATTGGGAATCAATAACCATAGCAATATAACAGCCATATATTGCAGTGACATTTCATCATTGGAACATAAGGACCAATGAAAATGTTAAACATTATATCATCCATTACAAAATATCAAAATTCATCATAATTTTATTAATCTTAAAAATCTTCTAAAACATATCTATATATTATTTTATAATATTTAATAATATACTTTCAATAATTCACTCATTATAAAATAAACATCTCTTAATTAAATTATATTAATTCTTAAGCAATTTTATGAATAAATAAGAATTTTTTAGTTATTTGGAATAATTTCATAATTTATATTAATTAATTAAATTTCCAATTTGCTTCAAATATTATATTTTTGTAATATGCATCCTTAATTGTATCTATAGAATCATTCAAGTTAATCAAACTTATATTCTACACAAAATTGAAATAGATCTAATATAATTTCATATATTTTTGATATATGATGATGAATAATCAATTGAATAGTAAATTGTTATATTTTTAATTTAAAAATGGTTTAAAAATATACTCAAATGGTTGTCTGAGTTTATATTTGGTGTTCAGTTTTAGAATTTACAAATTCACCAGCAATTTTTGTGATTATTTGAAATCTAATATTTTCTTTAGTTATGGTTCTATACATGCATCTTTTTGTTGAATCAATGATTTATTCATTTTTGATCATATTATTTCTATGGTAAAGGAAAATGGATTTTGCAGCTGCATATTTGATATTCAATTTTTATGCAGCCTAAAAATAGAATGAATATATATATACATGTTTTATTTTGAAGCCTTTAAGACATATTAAATAAATTAGAGTTTACTTGACTTAAGAAGACATCTTATGATACGAGATTTTAAGTTATTTGGTACCTTATTTCATAAATTATAATAAATCTTCTTTGAAGATGTGAATCAAATATAATTAATTCTGTATAATTACATTTCATAATAATGATTTGTTTTATTAAAATATTGAAATTCTTTATTTTTATTGAAATGAGTAAAACAGAAATTTATTTCAAATATTATTAGTTACATAATTAATGTAATAAAAGTAAAGACCAAAGTAATTGGACCCTATCAAACGTGTAAAGGATCCAGATCCTGTTGATTTAGGAAGTCCATTGTAGTTTATTAATTAAATGTTGTAACCTAAGGAATCAGAATATAAAAGAAAGCATCATAAGAAAGAAAGAACTTAAATATCAAAAAAGTTGGAATACGATATCTAGGAGGCTCTAAAATAAACAGATTACGATGAAAGTTGATTTTGAAAATAAATATAGGAAACATTTTACATAGAGCTTGTCTTGATTAACAAATCAAACAAATTAAAGATATAATTGAAGATTTGGTAGCAAAGAAAGATGATGTTGCTCTATAGGAATGCCTAGTAAAGTAAGATAAATTTCATTGTTAACCTTTGTTATTATGTTGTATTAAGCCAAAAACTCTAGAATCTGATTAGATTAGAATGTTATGCATTTAATTATTATTGAATCCATGTAAAGAGAAACCACACATAAAAGCAGATGTAAATTGTTACAATCCAAGAACATAATGGACTTGTTTACATTGGGCAGCATATTATGGAGATAAGGAAAGTGTGGAAGTATTACTTGAAAATAACATTCATGTTTTTTTGCCAGATTATAAAGGATAATATGCAGTAGATTTAGCAGGTAAAAATAAGTACGAGGAAGTTGTAACTTTAATAATAATGAGGAGTATTGAAATATTGGATTATTTAAAATATGGAAGTTAATAAAAATATAAAGCATATTTTGAGAGTCTCACTCCTGAACTTCTTAAANTAAAGGAAAATGGATTTTGCAGCTGCATATTTGATATTCAATTTTTATGCAGCCTAAAAATAGAATGAATATATATATACATGTTTTATTTTGAAGCCTTTAAGACATATTAAATAAATTAGAGTTTACTTGACTTAAGAAGACATCTTATGATACGAGATTTTAAGTTATTTGGTACCTTATTTCATAAATTATAATAAATCTTCTTTGAAGATGTGAATCAAATATAATTAATTCTGTATAATTACATTTCATAATAATGATTTGTTTTATTAAAATATTGAAATTCTTTATTTTTATTGAAATGAGTAAAACAGAAATTTATTTCAAATATTATTAGTTACATAATTAATGTAATAAAAGTAAAGACCAAAGTAATTGGACCCTATCAAACGTGTAAAGGATCCAGATCCTGTTGATTTAGGAAGTCCATTGTAGTTTATTAATTAAATGTTGTAACCTAAGGAATCAGAATATAAAAGAAAGCATCATAAGAAAGAAAGAACTTAAATATCAAAAAAGTTGGAATACGATATCTAGGAGGCTCTAAAATAAACAGATTACGATGAAAGTTGATTTTGAAAATAAATATAGGAAACATTTTACATAGAGCTTGTCTTGATTAACAAATCAAACAAATTAAAGATATAATTGAAGATTTGGTAGCAAAGAAAGATGATGTTGCTCTATAGGAATGCCTAGTAAAGTAAGATAAATTTCATTGTTAACCTTTGTTATTATGTTGTATTAAGCCAAAAACTCTAGAATCTGATTAGATTAGAATGTTATGCATTTAATTATTATTGAATCCATGTAAAGAGAAACCACACATAAAAGCAGATGTAAATTGTTACAATCCAAGAACATAATGGACTTGTTTACATTGGGCAGCATATTATGGAGATAAGGAAAGTGTGGAAGTATTACTTGAAAATAACATTCATGTTTTTTTGCCAGATTATAAAGGATAATATGCAGTAGATTTAGCAGGTAAAAATAAGTACGAGGAAGTTGTAACTTTAATAATAATGAGGAGTATTGAAATATTGGATTATTTAAAATATGGAAGTTAATAAAAATATAAAGCATATTTTGAGAGTCTCACTCCTGAACTTCTTAAACATTTAAATAATCCATTATTTCTATGTAAATTAATTTATTGGTCAGCATTATATGAAGTAGATAGTAAGAATTCAACTTTATTATAATACAAAAGAGCATATTCCTTTTTCCCATTGTAAATATAATCTTATTAATATGTTTAGTAAGTCTTTGAAAATGAAAACAGCCTTACATGCAGCATGTTAGAGTCATAAAGGCAATGAAGAATTTTTAAGTGAAGCATTTCATGTTTTTGAAGAGACTTTATTTGGATTCAATAATGATGATTTAACTAAGATAATTCCTCAGAAGAAACCTACACTTTTTATAAATACAGTATTTGTATTTTCTGAGGATGATATTAAGAAATATAGAGATGAATTTAAGAAGGAAGTATTGTAATTAGCAGAATGGGAAAAAGAAGTTTTGAATAAAATAAAAATAATAAAGAATTATACTTAATAAAAGTAGAGATAGAAATATTTTAATGATTTTTATGCAATATATGTGAATTAAAAGGATGCTTATGGTAATTCACCTTTACATGTGGCATCAATAAAGGCATTTTAAAAGGGAATTAATATATTATTGGAAAAATAAGCAAATATGGAATTAGAGAATAATGAAGTATTTAAAGCAAGAGAATTGACATAAGATGAGAATGTGTTAGAGTTGTACAAAGAGAAATTGTAAAGTATAACTAGTGAAACTATTTTAAATGAACTCAATTAAACTATAATTTAATAATTAATGGGAATATTTAAGAAAGATGCTTATGATGATTAATTACGTTTGCGAAATGCTTTAGCTCCTTGTAATTCTTAATTATATTCTTAGTGTCTAAAAATGGAGATTCATAATATTATAAATTAATCACAGAACTTAATTAATTTTCATAAAATCTATTTGTACCAGATTTTATTATTCGTGCTAGCATTAAGCCTGAGAATCTCAATTAAGATACTTTAGAGACAGCACCTGCTTTCTTTGATTTAAAAGATTAAGATTGTGCTGAATTGATAAGATTGAACTTTTACATATCATTATTATTGAATGCTAATTTTGAAGTATATTTAATGAAATCACAATTCCAATAAGGATTCTATTATATAATGTTATAACATAATGAAAAGAATTTAGAGAATTAAGCAGATTTAATGAATCTATAAATGAAATTAATGGATTCTTATGATTTGGAAGAATTTGAGAAAGTATTTTAAAATCTATATGAACCTTTTCGATCTAGATAGAAATAATAAATTATAGAAAAACATTTAACTTAAATTAAAGATTTAAATGAATAGATAAATTCTGGTATTATATAAACATATTATCGAATGCATAAGACAGGAGGAATCAATAAAATTAAAGAGAGATGGTTGGTCAATAATAAATGGTATCTTCCAACACCAATAAATTAGATATCTGAATATTTGATGGAAGGTGAGAATTAAAATTTTAGTTCAATTACAATATTAAGATTGTATTTTGGTGAGAAGATTTCTTTTTATTTTGCATGGAAATCATATATTACATGTGCTCTAATGATTTTGGCAGTTCCTGGAGCTGCAATATAAATATATATTTTAGTTACAGGAGATTATTTTCCATCAATTCTTCCATTTTGGGTTTGTTATGTTTGTTTATGGTCAACTTTATAAGTAGAATTTTGGAAAAGAAAGACTTCAGAAATTACAACAAGATGGGGATGTTTGGATTTGCTAGATTCTAAGGATAAGGGTGAAGTACGTAGAGGATTTTAAGGTTATGAAGAAATATATTAAGTAACTGGAGAGTTGACAAAACATTAAAAGAAAACAGAAACATTTTTTAAAGTAGTATTATCAGTGTTGGTAGTGTTGATTTTTTTGACACTTTGTGTTTTATTATTTGTTGGTGTTAATCTTATGGTCAAGAGATTTGAAGGTTAAATTATTATAACAACAGCACTCAATATTATATAGGGTGTTGGTATTTTCGTACTCAATTTGGTATATAATCATATAGTAATGTTTTTTGCTTAATATGAAAATCATAAATATCAGGAAGACTATGAGTAATCTATTATTTATAAGAATTCAGCATTTACATTGTTAAATTCATATTTGTGTATTTTTTATGCTGCTTTTGTTAATAATAAAGATTTTCTGGATCTTTTTATTTAATTAGTACCAGTTTTAATAACAAAATAAGTTTAATTTGCAGCCCTGAAAGTCTTATTGCCTAGAGTTCAGTATGATTATTATGAGAAATAATACTTTAAATAGTAATAACTAAACATACAAAGATAAGGGCAATTAAATAGAAACAAAGAAGGATTTAAAGATAAGGTTGAAACTCTATATGAAACAATATTTAAAGAGAAGAAGTACACAATTGAGACATGTAAAAGAGCAGTTTTGAAAATACATGAGAAAGGGAAACCTCCTACATTAGAGATGAATTTAGATGCAGATTAAGTGGAATTAAATAATTTAAAATTGAATTACGAAGGAACTCTAGGTTATTTTATGGAAGGAATTATTGATTTAGGTTATATTACTTTATTTGCAGCAGCCTTTCCTATAGGACCTGCAATTGCTGTAGTTGCTAATGTAGCTGAGATAAGAACAAAATTAATTTCATTTTTGGAAGTCTATAAAAGACCAGAATGTTAGAGATGTGCTGGTATTGGAGATTGGTTAAATATTATGTAATGGATGGGTATGGGTTGTGTTTTTTCAAATTTTGCTTTGTTGTATGTAAAATATAAAGTTGAAACAGTTGAAGTAATTTATGGATATAGTGGAGAAGATTAAGATATTACTATTTGGTTATTCTTTTTGACTATTGCTATAATTTTAATAATCAAATTAGCATTTTAATGGTTGATTCCAGATAAACCATAATGGGTATTAAATGAATTGTAGAATATATAAGAGAAATAACATGTAAATACAGGTTAGAGAGAAGCATTGAAGAAAACAAAGGTAGAGATTCAGAAGAAATAAGATAGATTGAGTTAGAGAAGGAAATAATTTTAAGAGTCAAAGTAGAATTGTACTTAGAAAATGTAAGCTAAAATAAATACAAAACTTGAGAAGGAAACAAAGATAGAGAGATTTTTACAATAAGAAGAATCAGAAAAATAATTAGCAAAATAAGGAGTTATATAAAAGGTAACAGAAATAGAGATAAAGTCTGAAATGGTAACTTAAATAAGAATTGGATTGTTGAGATAGAAGTTTATTGAAATTTAACATTTTCTATTATAATAAAGAATTAGATAAATAGATTAAGCTAGAACTAAGAATATTTTTTTATGTTAAGAATGTTCATTAGTAGAAGCAGTATTTGATTGTGAAGATTGTGATGAAAGTTAATGTTTAGAATGTTTTAGAAAAATACATACTAAAATGAAGAATATTACAACTCATGAGGTTATGTTATTAAAATCTGCAAAATATTATGAACATGAATTATTAAGTCGTTTATAAGTGAAAAGAAAAGTTAAAATAGATAATAAGAGTAATTTATAAGTGAAATTAAATCAATAATAGTAGGATAATGAAATTAAAACTAGGAGATGGTAGAAATTATAAAATTTCTGTTTTCCTATAACTACTTCATCTTTAGCATATAATTCTTTACCTACAATATTTAATTTATTGAAACGTGAATATTTAGATAATTTAAATTTGGAGAGAATAGAATTAAATAATTTTTATAGATTTAAAAGAGAATAAGAGAAATTTATTATGTATGAAAGTGAGAATATAAATAAGATATTGGAGATGGAGGAATTGAATTTAGAAGAGAAATTATGGTTGAATAGAATAGGATTTTTATGTTTTAAAAAGAATGCTAAATTTGAACATTTTTATGATTTGGTTAGAAAATTATAGAATAGTAATTTAGAGAGTAAGTTAAAATTAGTAGTAGATTTAGCAGATGTAGATAATGATGAATTAATTACAAAACATGAAATAGAAGCTATATTTGTGCCATCTATTGTATAAGATTGTGAAGGGAAATTCTCACTTTAATAGACTATTGAAAATGCATTCAATAAACCATTAAGTAAATAAAAAGCAATGGAGATTCTATTGAATTTAATTAATTCTAATGAGTAATTTAAAGAATTCTTTCAGCAATTAACATAATGTGAATGAATTAAATATATAAATATTGATATATACTAATATAATTATGAATAAGTAATAATAATATACAGATGTATATTCATTTGAACCTAATTTGGATTAAGTTTTAATAGAAATAATACCAGATATGATTGAATCAGTTGCTGATCTTAATGAAACTTAAATTTAAGATAGATTAGCTACTAAAAGAGTGAGTTCAAAAACTAAGACTGTTACTTTTAATGGAATGTTATTGATTTTATTTATTTTCATGATTTTAACAATAGTGAGATGGTTAATGAATAAAATTGATGTTAGATTGTTGAAATATATGCTAAAGTAATTTGAGATAATCATAAATTTTTAGAGACTCAGCATTAATGTTACCAATGGTTTTCATAATCTTGGTGTTCAATTATATGTTGAGTAGTTCTGTAAAGTAGAAATTGAATATATATGGAGTGTTATATTATGTAGATCTTGATAAATTTTTAATGTAAATAGTGACATTCATAATTGTATGGTTTGGTGTAGGAATAGTATTCACATTTGTTTGGTAACATTAGAATGCTATAAATAATGAATTTGAATAATTGGATGCTGAATAAACGCATAGACTTTATGAAAATATGTATTTGTATAACGATTCAAATACATACATAATATAAGAGAAAGTTTAATACCATTCAATTAGATAGTAATTCATTTAACCTACTGATATTCCAGTGATAAATCCTAGAATCTTAAGGAATGATTTCAACTTTGCATAATATTTGAACTTGAATCAACGTAAAATCTATTCATAAATCTTAAGAATCAATTCATTTAGCATTATTCCAATTATACTTTGTATGTTTCTAACATATGTGTTCTCCTCTATCATAATAACAATACTCTTACTCATTTATTATTGGGTGTAAAAATCCAATCTTTATTAAATCTACACTAAGATTGATGCTCCATATTAATACAATCCTACACCTTTATAATATCGTGGAATATAAGCACCACCTTATATTAATTTATAATTGTAAAAGAATAAATCAAGATTAAAATAAGTTATTGGATCACCATAATTCAATTTAAGATTACTACATTCCTTTGTTTTTATTTAAATATTTTGGTTTGCTTGGTTATTTTATGCACATAGAGTAAATAATTCAATTCTTGAACATACTTGGTTATCAATATTTGTATCTATTGCCTCAATTAATGTAACAATTTTAACTCCTATGATTGTTAAAGTGTTAACATATACTCATTTAATAGCAGATCCATTTAAGGTTAGTATGGAATTATAATACAATAGATAATCATTATTGGAAAAGGTATCACATTATCTTAGATTTTGTAATCGTAAAGAAGATGAATAACATAGTCATAATAATGAAATTAATTAATAATAATAAGAAGATTAAGATGAAAATTAAAATTAAAATTAAGAAAAAGATCAATATTCATTAACTGTTGGTTAATAATAACTTATTAAATATGCATTTACATGTCTTATTAATAATGAAAAAGAAAAGTATGTTAAATAAGCTGTTGAATAATATAAAAAATAATTAATTGAAAATCCAAATTTATTATAAGTTCCAATTGATTCAGAAGAAGAAGAAGATTTAGAATTAGAATTAGATGAATAATCAGGATCATAAGAAGAAGATCAAGAAGATTAATCATAATAAAGATAATAATAATAGAATCCAAATTAACATTAAGTATAACCTAAAGATATTAATGAAGCTTTAAAAGAATATGAATAAAAGATAGTTGCCAAATTACTTAATAAAACTGAAAGTAGTAGTATTAATGTTAATTAATTGAATGATCTTAAAAAATATGTAGATTGTAATTTACCTTTATGGTATATGGTACTTATGGTTGACAAATATTTCAAATTAAATAATCCTTTAGTTGATACTATTAGATATAATGATCTTTGTAATTATTCTGGTTTTAATTAATATGTTCTTGAAACTGGAGACATGTATCCATAATAAAATGAAGTTATGACTCTTACATAATTGAAAGAGTATCTCATGAATTTCTTTACAGAATAAGAAGCTTAAGAAGTAGTGTAAGAGTATAGTTTTTAAGAATAGATGGTTAATTTTGAATAATTTTACTAATTCATTGAGAATAATATGGTTTTGTTTCCAAAGTGAATTATATAACAATATGATACATATATATATTATAACAATATCTGATGATTATTTAAATTATTAAATTCATGACAACCAATCGATATTAATTGCTCATTTATGATGATGAATTCGTGCAGTTATATATTTCTATTATCATATTAGAAACCCCATTTAAGATGAATCCTCCCTTGAATATCTCATGACTATTTGTTTATAACAATCTACTGCCAATTAGAACAAGAAACCATCTTATTAGAAATAAACCTTCACTAAAGATGAAGACAAAGATATTCTAAAGTATGTAATACAATATGGACCAAATTTTAATAAGATTGTTAAATATTTCCCTGGCAAAACTATGAATATGATCAAGAATCGTTATTATAAGAAACTTCGATATCTTAAATCAGAATTGGAAGTAGATAATGAATTCGATTCTATTAGCAATAATTCTAAAATTAAAAAAAGTCATTGAAATTTTTACTTTTTATATTTATAATTAAATTATATAATTATTTATATTTAATTTGTTGTAAATTTTAAGTATGTCTAGAAACACAATTAAAAAGACACTCAAAAAAATTAAAAAGCCAAAACCTATCAATAAAAATAACAAATAAAAAATTGATGATGATGAATCAATTGATTCAGAATACTTAGATGAATTAGAAAATCAAAAACCATAAAATATATCAGATAAAAGTGATAGTGAAATTGATGAAACAGAAGACAATAGAAGATTAAGATTAGCTAAATAAATTCTATAATAAACTAAATAAGATTTATAATCCAAAAAAGATGACTTTTTTTAAGATCATCATGATATTCATATGAATGATGAAGACAAAAGATTAAATGTAGCCCTACTCGAAAAAGTATCTTATATCATATAAATCTTAGTTTGCTGAAAAACATACTATCTATTAGTCATAAATCCAAAAATTTGATCGTCAATTTAATAGAGAAATCTATAAAGGTCATCTTAGAGCCATTACTTGTACTTAAGTTGATGAATTTGCATAACATATGTATTCTTGTTCCAAAGATTCAAGCATCATCAAATGTAATCACAATATATATACTATTTTTAGGGGATTTGGAAACTAAAAAGAAAGAATTTATATAAAGAGAAGTAGGTAAACATGGTGATGGTCATTATGATGAAGTCCTTAGTATTTCGTTGAATTATGATGGCAAAATATTGGCTAGTGCTGGTAAAGATCATTCAATCAAATTATGGGATACTACATCCAATAAATTGATTGAAACACTAAAACATCATAAAGCACCTATTTATGGTGTAAAATTTGGATATAATTCTAATAATTTATGTAGTATCTCTTGTGATAGAACTTTCATATAATGGGATGCAGCATAAAGAGCTTATATTGACACATTGTAATATTTACAAGTAATTTATAAGTTTTGGACATAGTACAGAAGCAAATGACATCGATTGCTTTAATGCTGATGATTTCTTGAGTTGTGGATATGATAGATAAATGATTCAATGGAAAACTAAGTCAGGAGGATAACTTCTATACAGTGGACATGAATAATCTATTGATTGTATTAGGGCAATAACTCTTGAGACTTTTGCTACTGGTTCTATTGATACTAATATCAATTTATGGAATGTTAAAAAACGAAAGCCATTATTTGAATTACATTAACCTCATGGTGATAGATGGATAACAGCTTTAGTAATTATTGTATCCATAATTAAATAGGGAACTATTTATAATAGTGATCTTTTAGTTTCAGGATCTTATGATGATAATTTAAATATCTATAAAGTTACAAACAAAGATATTACAAAGGTTAGATCACTATAAAGTGTAAGATATTTTAAATAAAATTTAGTATGGAATAGTCAATCATATTAATGTATTTGATAATAAAATCCTTACTGTTGAGAGTCAGGAACATCGTCTAGGAAGATGGATTACTTCAACCAAAAGCAAAAATTTAATAGTGTTGTATTTATGATTTATTTTCTTATATATATATATAAGTTTTAATAAACAAAAAATGGATGAATCATCATTAATTAACTCTAATTATTTTTTATTACTTTACTTATTATGTCTTTAATGGGTTTCTATAAAAATTTCACTTTCATTTATTTAAAATTAATATATATATATATATATATATATATATATATATGATTTCTCTCAATTCTAAAGATGGATCATTCATAATTGTCTTTTAATTTTATTTTATATTTATATACTAGATCTTTTCAATGACTAAAAATGCTCAATAGCAATTTATCAATCGAACTTATGTCAAAGTTTCAGCTATGTAAAAATGTTAGTTAATAGCACTAGTATTTTAAGAGGAATGGAAGATTAAGAAAGTAATTATTATTTGTACTAGTTAGGCAGCTTCATTCCTTTACATAAAATATGCTTCAGCCAAAAGTATCATATTAAAACATAGAAAAAACTAAATACTAACTAAATTGCCTATGATTCCAGAAGATAGGAGATGTCATTATAAAATATTGAAAAATGGAAAACATAATTACAACATCTTATGTCTAAAAGGAGGAATATTTTAAAATATATTAGAAAATCTCTCTAACAAATGAAATACATATATATATATATATAGAAATATCAATTTTTTCATATCTCTATATGCGAAACATTAATTTAGAATTCTTTATTTAGAACATATTTTTCCACACCTCAATTATAAATTGATATTAATAAAAAAATACCTTTCTAATAACCATTTACATGTTAATATCTTAATCACAATAAAGAAAATATCTCAAAAAACATCTTTTGTTTTTTATTTTCATTTCTAAATTGAAACAAATTTAGGTTTTTTCAACAAAAACTATTTTCTTTATATACTTTTCACTTTCAAGTTTTTAATTTATATTATCAATTTAAATTACATTTTTTAGTTGTTTCTATTTCCAAACCATAAAAGTATTTAAATACTTAGACATTTGATGGCTATCTATCTGAAAATTTGAAGTTTACCATTATTCAAAAGGGAATGTTGGCAATAATAAGGGGAATATAATAATTTAATATAATCTTCTAAAGGTTCAATCCCGAAAACATTCATTTTATTGTAAAAAAAAAAGAATATTACTATTCTACTCTAACAAAGCAAATAAATTCCAAAATACAAATTTATACGTATCTATAATCAAACAAATGAAATTAGCATATAAAGGATTAATTTAGTTAAGGTTACTTTTTTTATTATTTTCATAGATTTAATAATTTTAGTTTGATTCTATACGCTTACAATTTAGACAAATTGATCTCTCCCCCTTAAGTATAGACTTAATCAATGTATAAATGGTTATGAATAATATTTAGGGTGAAATATTTATTATTATCTTGTAATTATGTCTATAAAATAGAAATTAGTTTAAGAATAATAAAATTTAATATAGTTCACATTTAGTGGAATAACTTTCAGATTATCATCTATATATTCTGGGTTTTATTCAACAAAATTGATAAACATCTATTAATTAGTGTTAGTAAAATATTAAATAGAACAAATAAAGAATATTAATATGTTGTAAGAAATCTTTATCTATATAAAACAAAGTGTTTATCATATATGAAATATCTTATTTAAAATTTATATATATATATAAGAAGGGATAATCTTTTGATTTTATTAATTTAAATAGTAATCAAGTAGATGGAAGTCATAGATAATAAATCTAGGTCTTATTGCAAAGTTTCTAAATAAAAATAAGAATAACTTTTAAATCTTGTTTATAAGGATGAATTCAGAATTAATTAAGTAGACATATATAGTTATATTAATATAGGCTGCTAATTTTTTGAATATCAATTATGCCACTGCCAAAAATATTATAAGAAGGTTTAAGAAAATACACATTTTTAGAAAATGTGGGAATATTTCTGAATCCAAGAGATGTCATTATAAATAGATTGGAGAATAAAAAGAGTAAACAAATGGAATAAATACAAAAGGTGGATTAGTAGGTGATTGTCTAACAGGATAAGTCTAGAAAATTTGATTTTATTTATAATTTTATTAAATTAAATATCATATGAAGTAATATTCATCTATTATATAAGAGAGTAAAACAATAAGTTAAGAATGTTATGAGAATGATAAAATGAGAGAATGATTATTAAATATAATAATAAAATAATTAAACCATATTACTGATTAATTTTGGATTATTCACTCTTTATATTGATTGGATAGGAATTCTAGTTTACTTTTAATCTCTGAAAATTAAGGAGGTCTAAAGACTAATTCATTATCCTTATATTCTATATAGGATGTCAATAATTTAATGGCTACATCTTTATTTTTCATAATTAATTCTTAATACTATAAATGAGATTAGAATATATTACTTATTATTTAGGTATTTCAATACTCTTTTTTTCAAAGTCTTCAAGATTCCAACAAATCAACATAAGTCTTTTGGATTTGTATTCTCCAGATAATACTATGAATTATTAATCACTACAAAGACTGTCAATATAAAGAGAAGCAGAACTTGATAATTGACCATATTAATCTTTCCATTATTTAACAGTTTATTTGTAATCTCTAAAATTGATTAATCTTTTTCTATTTCTGAATTGATGTTAGATTGGTCTAATTCCCTTTTCAAGAAATAGTATACAATTTTAATAATGATGTCTTTAAATATCTTTTTTATCAATAGCTAGAAATATAAATTTATCTTTAACAATTAAAGTTCTTTTGCTTAATTCATTAGCTATAACTTTTCTATCTTTTTAATGAGTTAATTATTATGCATCTTCACTTGATAATTCCCATTCAATATTAAAAGTATTATCATTATCTCTATCTTTTTTATCAAGAGACATAGCAGCTACTTAAAATAAGGATTCAAAATGATTTTCAACAGCATCAGCAGGATCAGCTTATATTTTTGTAACTCTTTTTTCAAGTACACTAATTTTCATTAAGAATTTATGTTTTCCAAAATATACTATTTTTTTGGCTAAAATAATTTGACTTTCAGGTTTAAATTTACTTTGTATTTGATCTTGAACATCTATTTCTCCATTTTCCACTTAAATTAAAGATGGATTAATCTTTTAAACATTAATTAAAACTTTTCCTTATTTATCAACTTTTACAGCATCAATAATTGATTCACTTATAGTTTTCATTGCTATTTTATCATCTTAATGTAAATATGGATATAATTTTTTAAAATCACTTAATTCAACTGATATTTAAACAGTATTCTTTAATTCTTAAACAACTGATTTCTATTTAACTTAACCTGAATAAACAACATTGTATATAGTTTCAGAATAAATTTCTGATTAATTTTATTAATAATGATTAACAATCTCATTTTTATCTGCTTTTTATATTTCTAATCTTAAACCAGGACTTCTAACATCTACAACATCCTTTGTTTATTCAATTTCCTAAACAGTTTTGTATTAATTGCTTTCAAATTATAATAAATCATCTTTAACAAAAACTTAATTGATAATATATTCTGCTATTTTATTAGATCCTATATTAATCATTTCAGTTGAATCTAAAATATGAATTCCTCTATATCTAATACGTCTATTATTATATTAAATTAAATCAACAGTAATTTGAGTTTCAAATCCTTATAGAATTTTATACATATTAATAATATAATATTAATCCTATATTATTTTGAAACTTCTATTAAATTATTTACCAATTTATCTTACAAGTGATTTATCAGTACATTAAACTTTAAGATTATAGATCTACATATCTTTTCTTGTTTTGTAATGTACTTAAAGTTTTGTAATAGCTTAAATCATACTATAAAATTGAGTATCATTCTTTTTCTTTTATGGAATTTCTTTCAATTCAGTAACTTTAAATTCATTTTCAAAAGAAATCTCAAATGGAGTTTCTACTCTAATTATACGAATAATATATTCAATTAAAGGTTTATACATTTATTCATAATAATTTGGTAAATGAACACCTTTATTTTCAATCCATTTATCTTTAACATTTGCAAATTCTTTTTAATCTAGTGTTTAATCAAGAAGATTTAAAAAGTATACTTTCTTAACTTTATTATCTACCATATTACCATTACCATCAATTTCATTTAATTAATGAAATACAATTTTAATTTGATATTAAGTTAAAAAGAACATAATTTTAATATATTTATTATCTTTCTAGATATAACGATGCATTAAAAAGATATTTTTCTCACTTCTCTTTCTATATTATAAATAATATTTAAATTATGATTTTATTTTAAGAGATCTCTATATTCTAAGAGCAAATAAATCCTTAAATATTTTACTCAAAAATGGTTTGATTCTTAAAAAATCTGTTGTATGATTTTCATAAATAACTAAATTATCATCTAAATAATTCATTAAAGGAGTTAATAATTTACAAATCTTTTAAGGAGGACTATTCTTAACTACTTTCATTAGTCTATAATTTTCAAAATCTTTTGCAGGTATAATATGAGTTTTAAACATTTCTGGATTATCATCAAAATAAACAGTAAATATTATTTATTGATCACTTAAATTAATTAAATATTCATGAATTCTATCTAAACATCTATTTTATCTTAATACAACTGCTTAATATTTATTTTCAATCAAATTCTCATACATAGACTTACTTTTATTCAAATTTATAAAAACATTTACTAAATTATATATATCACCTTCTACATTCTCCATATTAGGTTAACGATGTTATCTAGCTTTCCATATTTCTTACTCTATCAATAATTATTCTTATGCTCTAAAATCACTTACAAAATTAAATATTCCTTCATCTATTTATAAATACTTAACTACACTCTAACTCAAATTTTATTTCAAAAATTCCATCTCTACTTCACCATTTAAAACACTAAGTATATCAATATTACATCTTAAACTTACATTCAATTCAGTTTTACCTTCCACTTCTAATTAATTAGTTTATTTATTAAATATTATTCTAATCAGAATTCTTTATGAACTAACTACACAATATTCTTAAAATATTAAAATACGAGATTCCTTCTCTTTCTATATTCTTCTACTTTCTTCATCTTTTATTTATTATTCTCTTAATTTCTTTTCTTATTCTTCTTATGCTTTCCTCTATTCCCTTTAATCATATTCATCTTTCCTTATTTACAAGAAATCCAAATTATATTTTCCTTCTTCCAATTCACCATAACCAAATTCACTAATATACTTATATTCACGAACATAATTTGATATAGATTCCTAATCATAACATTTTACATCTATTTAATCCATTAAACATTTGTAATAACTTCTTTTCCAACTTGAATAATTACTTCTTATAAATAATGTTGCCAAATATTAATTACTTTTCTTTTTATTTTTCATTTACTTTGGTTTTACTCTCTCCAATATATTTATATCCATCTCAATATTTGAATCTTGAATCCATGATTTTCTCATATGTGAATTCCACAATTTTCTAGCCTATAATGTATCATCCTTCTTCTCTGAAGATTCCTTTTAATCATAATCTTATTCATTTAGTAACATCCCCTACACTTCCATTAGATTTCTAACATCAAATCTTAAAGAACCCTTAATTTACATCACTTTCCCTATTGTCATCATTCTCTATCCAATCATTGTTAATTCACCTATTGACATCTCACTATACAATGGTTATTTATATGGATGTATATAATCAGAAGGAAATTTATGTTCCAATGATCTAACATCTATACTAATTGATTATTCATTTGTAACCTAATCCACTATCAATGAAAAATTCATAAAGAATGCTCTAGCTGGAGATTCTCCAGATACAACCACTTTCTTTACTAAACTAGTACATTTAACTTCATTTTTATAAAACTAAAATTATCTTGTATTCTTTTTTATAATATAATCTTTCTAACATAAATGTTATCTAATAGATCTTTAAATTACTCTCACACAACTCTCTATTTAAGAAAATGAGAATTATTTTTTTTTTTAATTTGCCTCTAATTCTTTATTAATCCAATATTATCCTTCTTCTGTATAAATTATAGTATTCACCTAAATTTAGTAAATATCAAAGAAATTCTCTCTACTTGGAAATCCCAATTATTTTGTAATTAATTAACTGATTTTCAATTTATTTGTTATTTGCCATTTACGATCATAAATCACTTTAGCAAATATCTCATCTTTATCATTAATAAAGACTTAAGTATATCCTGATTTGAAACTAAGTCCAAATTATGCTTTGATATGTCTCCTTCTATTTACTTTAAATCTCATTGTATTAATAGCATTTCTTGCTTTAAATTGACTTTATAAAAATGTAATCAATTATAAATGATTACCAATTTTATGCATAACTTCCAATTTAGATTTCTATTACTCTTAAATTACTTAATACATATCACTATAATTAAAATCTGTAAATCCTGCAACATGTAGATTAGATTACTCATCCATATAAACTAAATCTTCAAATTGAATCTTTGCCAAATATTTGATAATATGAATTCTATCAAGTTTTAAATTATAAGAATTTTCAACTATTGAAATAAATGATTAACTTGTCTAACAACAATATTGAATCACTTAAAGATGAATTTGATTTGGTTCTATTTCAGCTTACAATGCATCTTAATATTCAATTATTCGAGCAAACATATAAAAGAAATCTTTCTCATTTATATCAATTATGAATGGTTTTAAAAGTGATCTATCACATTTCTTTTTAGCATATGCTTATAATTTAAATTAAAATTTCTATTCATTCCAAGTCAATTAAAATAAAAACAATTTATTTTAAATTTTATCAGCAACCTATTTAATATGAAATGTAATTAATCTCTTTCTAATTACATTCTCTGATTTTTATTACTATTTCACAAATCTGTTTACTGCTATACACTTTCTAATATGTCTTTATATAAGTATAGCACTCAATAATTATTTATGAGGATATATAGTTCTTCTCTTTATATCTAACAATTAATATGCAATCTCTCTAAAATTTCTCTATATCCTCAAACTCCTAAAC